GGTGACTTGTAGCATCACATGATCGGTAATGTTAATCCGGCTCCTGCCGACACCCGTATTGTGACGGGGTAGGGTTGGGTTGTAAGGTCAGGACATTACACGATTGCGGGGGCGTCGTGTGGGAGTTGGTCGTTCTGGAGTTACGCCTTTTCAAGTCCGTCCTGGCATCGGACCTGTCTGGTTTTGTCGTGAAAAAGTTCTGTCACACGCGCTGTGGTACTTTTATGGTCGTGGGGTTTTCGGCGGGGCTCCGTCACTGATCAATAAATATGATATTTTGTGTCACAAATTTACAAAACAGCTGTATTTTGTGATGATGACATATCTCTGACCATATTTGTTGTCGTAACTGTCGTGCAAATATAAGACCGTGGAGTAAGAAACAGGAGATTACAACGATTATAACCTTACTATCCTTTCTATGTAAATCGTACCTAGATATCTTACCAACACATTTATACGGAGATGTAGGGCGATTTAGGATTTTAAAATTGTTAATATTGACCTAAAACTTTCAGATTAAGATTTATTGAATATCGACTGGCATGTCACAATATGACGTGCAGGAAATATGTCAAGTATTTACAACATGTGCCCAATTATTGCAAATCAGATGTACAAAACAGAATTACTTTTTAAATTTCAAAAATTTGTGGAGGAAAGAAATATTCTAAATATCATTACTCCCGAAAAATACGTTGTACGAACTGTTTCAGTGTGTAGCATATTGTTGAGCCATTATGATAGGCGCATGCGGGCTGTAGGTAACTATCCAACGTCCTTCACCGACATGAAGGGGACCGTGGGAGACTGATATAGTCATCATGCCGGGTCCTGAGGCAGGGAAGGGCACGTCCTTGGCCCTCGACAACACCAGAGGGTCGTTGTCCTTTAAGGCCAAGGCATTTGGAAGTTTTGATGTTTATCTCATTCCTCAAATGGGTTTCACAGACGCCAAAAGTCACTGAACTGGAATAGTAGTCACGGCTTGTGGGTTTTTGACTGCTTCCTGTGAATTGTTGTTGTTTAGATCCATCAACAACTATTAATTGGATTCTAAGTAGCAATACGTTTATTACCTTTATTGTACTTTACAAAACTTTACGTTAGTGGAGATCCTAATAAAAACAGACAAACTTTAAGTGTACAATAACTGAGACTTGCACATCCAGTTCACACTCTCAAGTTATTCATTGGATAAAAGATGTATTAAGATAATCACGCATTAGTTGTCTTCTTTCTCCTCCGTTTCTCTCTCCTTCCCTCACTCTAACCTAATCCCTTCTCCTTTTTTTCATATTGAGCTGAGGCAGCCACCTCCATCTTGTTAAAGATTTTGCCGCCTTTCGTAGCTAATACAAAACGGGGGTTCGCCAGGCCACTGTCCGAGTGATTTGTAGTGAACCGCCAATTTCCAGACAGTAGAACTTCGACCATCGCATGCACAGCGGGGCATGCCCCTACTCTTTTTTTTTCGAAAGGTGTGGTGGGGTCTTTAACGTGCATGGGGTGTGGCTCTCCCCAAACACAGGACCTAAAATACGGGTGTGGCTCTCCTCTATCACGGGACCAAACCGAAGGTATGTACTCATTTACCCATGACGTGAAGAAAGTTTTATTAAGTGCCTTTCTCAGGGGCACAACATCGGGCTTGTCTGGGGAACGAACCGGGGACCTTTTGGTTCCGAGCTCTGACCATATTACACCATGCGACCCACCCCCCCGTACACGCGAGAGTTGAACAGTACAAACAGGGTGGATTTCACCCCTCCACTAGAGAGGGGCTCCGTCAACAGACCCCATGAGTAGTTGGGCCACGCCCTGAAGGTGCTTTACGTAACCCACACGTGTGAAGGTCAGCCGTGTCACTCACTAACACTCTGTTTACCTTCACACAGTGGCAGCCTGGCGGCGAGCGAACGTTGACTTTTATACCTTATAAGATTGTTCTCTCCTTGGCATTAAATATCATATACATATATGCGTAAGGCGGGGGGCGTCATAAACTTTCTGCAGCTTTTGATCAACTCCTCACCGAATCACGTGTTCTATCTGCATAAAGTGGTGGGTTGCTAAAACTGGTGCTGTTTAGCGAAAAAAAATTTCTCACTTTTCTGTTTTAGTTTTGAACTCACGGATAAAATCATTCACATTATGCAAAAGTTGTATGGTTCAAACAGTGTTGGTCCGTTAAAATGTTTCTAATGGACCTTAACCGCATCCATCCTCACAACCGGACATGTGTTAGTAATTTTACCCAGTCAGGAAACATGCACACAGCGGTCAGTGATCCGAAGACTTGTCTCTGTATGTATCAACATTTGGTGAAACACACTGCAACTCATATGATATGTTATATATACATTAATGACTGACAAAAATTGCAGAGTGGCAAATTTCTCCACATTATGACCACATCAATTGTGGCCTTCATTTTGCTTACACCTGCTGAATTACAAAATGCAAAGTGCTATTCAGATCCACCCACAGAGTTCTAGAGCGCTGCTGTCCACAAACATCACCAATCCACAAGCCGTACCTTTATTGGGAACGCATTTGGCGAACATTGTCATTGATAGGCTAGCCTCCGACTGTCAATGTTTACTTCGGCACTAGTTATTTTATTTACTAAGAAGCTTTATTGATGTTTTCTGGAACAATATTTCCACGGCAGATGCTCTGCTGAACTTCACTCCCTTGTACCCCTACTCAGAACATTTTCTGCAAGAACACGCTTAGCCACCTCAACAGCAGAAAATCACCCTTTCTTCCTCAATAGTCCATCAGTCAAGAGAAAATTTCATGCTGACAGTTTCTTCCCCAGAACCACTTCACTGTGGAACAAGCTTCCCCGTGAATGTTTCACCGTTAATTACAACCTCCAACGGTTTAAATGAAGGGTGAACAAATATCTGACCACGCAGTCTCACGAGCCTTGTTTTGAGGTGAATCTGAAGTAAATAAAAAAAAAACAAGCTTGGTGTATGTGCGTCTCAATAATGTTGCTAAGACATAGGGAATCCGCATTAAGATCCGCGCCAAAACATCTTGAGAAAGTATAACGTCTTGCCACGGCATCATTCACAAATGATAACGGTAGCATACTTTTTTCTCTCAGGATGACCTTTAAAACAAAGTGAAGGTCGTTGCTGTGTGTGTGTTGGAAATTTAAAACTCAGTAGGGGACTGTTGTGAGGGGTGGGCATGGTCGCAATTACCTAACTCAAAGCTCCGAACCATTTAAGTAACCCCTTGGACTAATTCTCTTAGCAATTATTTACATATTGACCATTCACATGAGATTGGTTCTAAGTTGATTAGTATAAGATGGTTAGTCTAGATAGAACACTAACTTACAGGGCGCGACAGGACAACAGATTTAGGCTAAGGGTTTAAATAGATTATACAGATAACCACTTTAGCTATTGATTTATGTGAAAATTAAAATACCGCCTACACAATTGTTTGGTAGGTTATAGGTAGAAGCTTGATACCAGGACTGTAAGTTAAAATCCTTCCTTGCATTCATATATATATAGGGCGGTGCCTATTCCCGTTTCTATAGTCCTTGAGCCACACAGTAGCACAAGGACTACAGTACGAGCTAGCCTGTTGGTAGTGGGTAGTAGTCAACTGCATACACTTTAATAAGGGGTCAACAAAGAAGGACTGTGGAAATCAGAGGTAGTTCCTTCACATCCTGGACGACTTTTGTTTTTGTTGAAAATTTGATTTTTTTTCCTGTAAACAGAGTACAACATTCCAGGAGGGAAAAATAACAACATCGGCACTTTAGAAGCAGAGTTCAGACTCATTTTTTTTCCAAGCAACCTTTCTCACATTACAAACATAGGGTCACATATGTTTCTAGGTGTTGTTGTGTTGGGTATAGGAATACCAGCTGACGGGTACATTGTAGATACAACGTCCTTCACTTTAATGTGAAGGACGTTGGAGGGCGATATACTTCCGTTACTTCCATGCGCCTATATAAGCTTGATCAGTATTGGTTGAATGCCGAGGACGTGGTCGGTGGTTAACCCACTTTTCAAACGGACAGGCTGGACAATTCGTCTTAAATTGACGTCATCCGGAATTCTGTTTTTTTCCATCACGTTGCCCGACATACATCACTACAAACATAGCTCTTTCTATTTGTTATTAACTTAAATTAAGTGTAAATGATTACTTATGCATGGTTATTTCTAAGATACACAGATAACTGTTTATGGATAGGTCTATTACAACCTACCTTACCACGTGGATGTCCTGCAGGACGTTGACACTAATTTCTAAGTACCTTCCAAACTGGATGGATGACTTTATACGCGTGTATGAAACTGCTCACATGGGACAGTAGTTTCACGGAGTATAATACACCCGTCCTAGTTTCAGACTTTTTTTTCAAATTCTAGCCAGAGGGTATAGTGCATGACGTACTTTAGTATTGTCTGCAAAATGCCATAGTTCGCAGATTACGCAGTAAATACGTAATCTCACCATGGTAACATATCGGACTGTCAGTAACTTTGTCGTGTTTTTCCAGTTCCTTCTACTAGTTCTGCCATTTTGTGTGTATCCTTCTAAAAAAAAAATAAGCGTACTTCCTAAATCATGTGATGTTTCTACCCCTTAGTATTTTTCAATAGAAACTGTGGGACGGTTCCATAGATGACATCTAATAGCAAGCAACTGCAAGCAGTCAAGAATGCAAAAAAAATGATACCTGAAAACTCGTACTACAGACGATTCAGAGTCTAGAAAGAGGGTTAGTTACACATGTAAAAGGCGGGGCAAGGTTATATAAAGTAGAATACATTATTTGATTTAAACAGATCCACCTGCCATCCAATCAGACGCTACTATCTCGACACGAATATCGATGTAGAATTAGTTGTATGTCTTGCACCAATGGCGACTTAGCTCGCCTGACGTATGTGTCAATCAAACCAGTCCCCGCCCCTTCCCACATGGGGATCTCATTGTAGGAAACCTGCCTCGTCATTTTTTGTCCTCAAGGTCAAGGAAGTGAACATAAAGCAGGCTGTTCCAATTACCGACTCGTCACCCCCACTTCTATCCTTAATGCTATCATATAAACATCCCAGCTGACTGGGGGGTGAAGAACAACAAAACCTGTTGCGCAAGTATACTAGTATATAAAGCGGCGTGTTCTTGTCCCTCGGGTTCATTCATACCTCGAGCCCTCGACGCACCAACATGACCGGAGCGTTCCTCGACACAGCGGCGGCGGCGGTGGCGTCCCCGTCCGAGAACGTGCAGACTTTCCTCTTCCTGCTGCTGGGTCTCCTGGCGGGGTACCTGCTGTGGCGGCGGGGCAACCCGCCCAACCTGCCGCCGGGCCCGTGGGGGATCCCCGGGCTCGGGGCCATCCCTTTCCTCGGCCTGGCTCCACACGAGACGCTGATGACGATGTCCAAAGCGTACGGTGCCATCATGAGCGTGCGGCTGGGCCCCAAACTTACCGTCGTGCTGAACGGACAGAGAGCCATCCACCAGGCACTCATCAAACGGGCCAGTGTCTTCTCCGACAGACCAGGCTTCGAGCTGGTCAACATGGTCCACAAGGGACGAGGTAAGACACACATCCCTACAGTTCACATATCGATTGTTTCCTTACTTATGCTGCGTCAAATCAACCATACCTCATATTGAGAGACATGGAGAATTGATGTAAAAGATAAATACGAATTATAAAATTTGCAAGTAGTATTTTATACTATATTATACCATATTATTCTCTATTTTTGAAAAGTGACATTTATAACAAACTATCTTTACTTGCCTTAAAATGATATTGTATCAATATAGTATGGAGAATTTGACGTCTTCTTGCTTTTCTGTGACCAATCATTATCGAGTTTGATATCAATACATAAATACATGAAATTTAATATTAATATTTTACATATAAAATAATAATGTAAAACATGTTTTATTAATGTTGGACCGGATACTTGCTATGAAAAATGTTTTATTAATATTGGACCGGATACTTATTGTTTCGAAGCATAATACTTTAAAACAATAGCTATCTGGTCCAACACTTTTGTATTATAGTACATCCTATTTTTCTACATAGAATGCCTCAGCTGTGTATTAATAATAAATAGATTCTAGTAGTTAGGGGAGTGGTATATAAGGGAGTATCATATATGAGTATGCATTGCATTCAACGCATTGTATTGTATTTGGCATTTTAGCACGTAATTTCAATGTCCTTGTGAAAACACATGTGCAGTGGTGCCAACTTTGAAGACGGCTCTGCTTTGAAAATTAAGTTTCCCAGCATATGTCGGGTTGGAAGATCGTAAAGTTGTCTAACCGCTAGGCTTTTCTGACAGTCCTTCCTCTTGTTCAGTACAAAAACATCCGCTCGTGCCCAGAAATGTGTTTTCACCGAAGTGACGTGTACAATCATGTCTCATTCTTCCTGATAAGAATTGATCACAATTACAATTATTTTCTATTCTTCTGGACGGAAAGTATTGACATATTTTGTTGCTAAGGACCAGTTCCGCTCTTCCAAGGTATTTCCATTATTGAAACACGTCTTGATTATATACATGAAACGCACACGGTATGATTTTTTCCGGTCTTTCCTCCTAACTACATCATTCAGCAGACAAGCTCTTCAGAAATGTACCCGACTTCCGGTCTTCCCTATCTATGTACAACTAGTCAAAACCAGCTGTCATGTTACCACAAGCAATACTAATTTCGTATTTCGTTTGTTGGAAAACGTTGATTATAATGTTTAAGGGTTAAATTTAGCCTACTGAATTATAGTGTACATTATATTTCTGGTACAAGGGTAGGGATGCCTAACTAGGCAATCCCGACATTTCCTTTCAATGTCTAACCAATATGGACTTTCAGCACTCTGATAAAAACTGCTGATTGATAAAAAATGATTCTGGTAGCAAAACGTTGAAGTTGTTATCATCGACGTCGTGTATCAATGTAGCGCAGTGCTATAGAATCGGTATAATAGTGAAGCTATAGTGCTCTTTAGTGTATTGCCGTTTTGCCTAACTAGTTCATCATCCACTGTAGCCCACTGTGGCAGCCGTAGGCTATATAGCTAATATGTCAAGGACGAACCAACATGGACTGAGTTAGAGAAATGTAACAACATAAATGTTGCAAAATGTATTCGGGACTCGGCCGTAACATACCAAATCTAAGGGAGAAGACTTATTTTAGTACGCAAACCCCTCCAATAGGGAAACCAATGGAATAACCTCTACAGACCTATGTAAACAATGCTGTGTGAATTGACATGTTTTTCAATAGGGTGAGTAAACATACTTAAAGTAAAAGTAAACACACTTAAGATGGGGAGACCTTTGCTTAAATACCCACACACTCAGGGCCGATGTAGTCGGCTGGAAGAATTGATACTGGTCCTTTGGATTTGGGCTAACTACGAGTAAAACTCCAAGGTTTTCTTTTTACAACTTCTACGGTGAAAGTGTCCGGGGATGTTTGTTCAGTGCTGTTGCTAGTGAATCCTGATATTTCATGGCGTCAACAGTTGACGTACACGTCCTACAGGGCAGCTGTTGTGTCCCACCGTGTGTTTATCCCGTTGTGTGTCCCTTAACCCCGTTTGCACATCACAGGGCCGTTCTTACGGACGGGCACTTCAAGGTTTTGATGTGCGTAGGCGTTTATGGTTTGTGCACTAGCTCTTGTGTGTGTGTGTGCGTGGTTGGGATTTAGCACGATAACTCAAGAAGTTTGGATAGATCGTCATGAAATTCCATAGGTGGGTAGTTCTTAACTTTTTAAAGAAATTATGAAATGTTGGCCCCTTTGGTTGCTTTCCTTGGTACTGCAGCAGAAGCTCCGGTTTTGAAATCTCGTGTTCTGGACATGCTGGGGCCACGGATTTTTGGGTGGTCCTTGGATACTTATCTTTTCTCAAGGTTGTTTTAAAGGTTGGTGGCTTTTAAGTTGATATTGTGCGACGCACACACACACACGCGTGCGCACACGCATGCAAACACATGTACGTACATGTGTATGGATGCGCATATGTAAATTATTATTACACATGTAAATGTGTAAACTTATCTAACCTAGATCAAATTGTTTTTGTTCTCCACCAGGAATTATTGCGGGTCCGAGTACAGAGTTCATCCAGAAGCAGCGCCGGTTCCTGATGCGGTCCTTCCGTACGCTGGGCCTGAACACGCACAGCATCGAGAACCTCCTACAGGCCGAGGTGGAGACTCTCATGACATCCCTGAAGCAAGTCCAGGGGAACTGTGGAGAGGTGTACGACGTCATCAACCGGAGCGTTGTCAACGCTATAGCGGTCTTCTCGTTCGGCAACAGGTGAGGAAATGACTTCTACACGCTACAGTCACATTTCTAAACCGACTCCTCATCGGGCACGGGGCTTATCGGCCCTCTCGTGTGCATGGCTACCGGACTATGGACCGTCGTCTAGCACGATAAAAAGAACACACTGGCACATCAATGAAAGAAAGCACATGCTGGAAATCAAATGAAAAAAAAACTTACGTGTTAAAAAAAAGCTTACAGTTCCTAGTTGCATGATAAAAAATCAGACGTTTTCTACGACAACCCATAAAGTCATCAGACTAGCTAGTCAGATGATACAGGAAAACTATATCCTTATCGAATAGGTTCATTCATTTATGAATTTTCTTTTATGTCGTTTTGTAGGTTCAATCACAACGACCCGAAGTTCCACAGCCTGGTCTCGAGTTTGGAAGGCGTGTTCCGCTTCTCGTCCACCGGTGTGGGGCTGATGACGCAAGCCTTCCCCGTCCTGCTCAAGTTCCCCCGCGGGCTCCCCGGCCTCAGCCAGTTCCTCGAAGACGGAGAGAACTTCCTCACCATCATCCGCGACATCGTCAAGTCCAGACGACAAGTCTTCGCCGAGATTCTTCAGAAAGACCCGACCCTGGCCGACTTCAAGCCGTCAGACATCCTGGACTGCTACTTCCAGGAGACCACCCGAGGACAGGCCTGGTTCATGAGCGATGAGGACTTCTGTCACATGATCATGGACAACTACATCGCAGGCACCACCACCACCAGACTCACCCTACAGTGGGCCATGCTTCTCCTCACCATCTCGCCCAGAGAGCAGCTCAAGATGCACGAGGAAGTGGTGTCAGTCGTCGGGACAGATCGCCTGCCTTCCCTGAAAGACAAGGACAACCTCCCCTACACCAAGGCCGCCATCTTTGAGCTGCTGCGCATCTCCTGCGTCACCCCGCTGTCTGTTCCCAGAGAGGCCGCTGATGACGTCATCATCGACGGGCACCGGATCCCGAAAGGCACGATGGTCATGACGAACCTGTGGTCGGTGACGAATGACCCGGATGTGTGGGAGGACCCGCGGACGTTCAAGCCGGAAAGGTTCCTGAACGCCGACGGAGAGTGCGTCCTGCCCAAGGAGTGGCTGCCATTTTCCACAGGTGGGGAAATATGGACATCTTATTCTATTCACAATAAGCTACGATATCCAAGTGTAAAATTGTTTATGAACCAAACTTCTCTCACAACATCATTGTATAATTTCATCAGGCTGCATTTTCTACACGTGATAAAGTGTGAAACAATATTTGCGTTTGGACCGCTGCACCTAGCAGTAGAAGTAGAGCAATCACAGAAATGCCCTGACAAAGATAGCAGAAGGACTACAAAAACGTTGTCAGATCCCTTGGTTGTGTACAAAACACTTTGTTAATCATTATCTCACGGCAGTTTTTCTACATATTTCCCTACAGGAAAGCGGTCGTGCATAGGACAGGCCATCGCAGAAAGCATGATGTTCATGTACATCTCAGCCATCGTCCAAAACTACAGGATCTACCTGCCACCAGGGAAACCAGTCCCCACAGCCGAACCCATCCCAGCCATGCACCTCCACCCTCAGCCCTGCGAAATCTTCTTTGCCAAATATCCTCCCTGTTAGTGCTAGTTCTGAGCACCTTTTGTAGCCTCTACCAGGCTTCGTGAGGCGGCTGGAAAGAGTAGAAATCGGCCAAATAGAGAGATAACATGCCAGGGGAGTTGGCAGTGTAGAGACAATTGCTTGCCGCACCCCACACCCTCTATTTGGCCGATTTCTACTCTTTCCAGCCGCCTCTCGAAGCCTGGTAGATCTCCAACTATGTTTGGACACAAGTCTTTTGAATAGTTGATAACATTTTGTGTCTTTTTTTTTCATAACATTTTGTGTCATTTTTGCTTTTTTGAAAATAAAAATGCAAGAGTAAAAGATGAGTTGCATGGAACTGTACGCATATTTGGATTGACTTAAGTTATTATCAAACAATTCAACTGTAAGCTGTGGCGTTCAGATATATACAGTAGGTATTTACTACCTAAGATTCTATGTAATTATGTTGAGTTTTAATGTATATACTTAATAACTACTGTATGACACAGTAGATTTAGTTTGTTTTTATCAGAACCATGTAGGTATTGAGTTTAAAAGTATTTCGTAAAGTTCTGTACAGTTCTGTAGAGTAAATGAAATATTCATATCTCAGTGTAAATCAACATGTGTATAATTATAAATAGTAATGGATGGAAATCAACATAATCTTTATGGATTCCGTATACTGTGGAATATTTTAACTTCAAGTCATTACTTTTCAAGTTCTCTTTGTATGCCGTGTACAGTTATCATACATAAGGATTTACCTTATACTTTGTTGTCACATGAGGATTGTTTTTTAAAGTCATATGAACCAAAAAAAAAGCTGAAAGCTAATCTATTGTTATGTGCTTTCCGTCCAATAGATGACTTTTATTGAAAGTGATAGAAACTGCATCTTTCAGGTTGTTTTGTATTGTAACACTGTACTTTGTAGTGAATATGTTATCAATAACGCCTTGCGTGGTTGACTGTATGATATGCCCAGGGCAATGTCACCAGTGTATAGTACGTTGGAAATGTCTATGTACAGGAATAAAGTAAGTTGAAGTGAATACTTTGAGTTTTGAATTTATTCTTCATAGGTTTATTTATTCCTAATCAGTTTTATTCTTTTCTGAAAGTAGATATGACCTTAAAATCCCGTAATATCGCCAATTTATTATTTTACATCACACAAAATCCCCAATACATGCATCAACCTAGAAATTGAATCAAAATCCCTATACAGGAGGTAAATATTAACAGCACCAACTATAGTGCTGTCTGTTCTGTAGTGAACTAAGAAATAAACAATATACGACACACAATGGACAGAGACTAGTGGTAACAAAATAACACATAGTTAACAACTAAATCTATAGATTAACCATTATCGCATTAAAATCACTAGCAAGAAGGTGCGTCGGCTGCAGTTCATATGACCTCCGCCTAGCGCAAGATTACCATGATGTAGTAATAACGCCACCTACCGATTGAAATAGTTGTAGCAACTCGTGGGTATGAATACTAAATATGCAATTGCTATATGCAGTAGTCATTATGGATGGACGCGCAAGATTCTGAACATTTTATCAATGTGCCTATCATATGCCTGTACTATGAAGTAGGGGGTGGTCAGAAAAATTGTACAAATCATAGATATATATACAAATAGATTTTGTTCAGCTTAAGTCAGACACTTTGTGAAATCCACATGTCTCTGATCCGTTATGATCAGGATACCAACAGTCAGCCGCAGCTTGGCGCATGGCATAGAAAACAACTATGCAAACATTTACGAAGATGTGCGTGATTTTGAGACGATGACAATTCGATAAAGATTTCTTTTGACCTACTTCCTTTTATCTGAGAAAGACATGCATAATAACAAAACCTTATCTCTGCACGCCACACTCGTATCTCAATTAGCAGACTCCTAGTTGTTAGTCTTTTACAGGTCTTGGCGAGTTGAGCCGATGTGTCCATTAAAGTTTTCTATTGACGTACCCAGAGGAACTAAACTCGGCACGTTCCTTGGCTCTTCTGTATACGTAAGGCCATGTTGATTTGATTATATGGATGACATCCGCGCGCGCATGAATTTTTGTCTGTTTTCAACCATACTGTAAATCGTGCAAAACAGTTGCTAAATGAGCAAAAATATACCATAAGTTGCAAGGAAAACATTTAGAAACGATACCAATGTCGTAGAATGCCAAAATCAAAGGAAAAAAGACAAAAATGTAAAGAAATGAATTCGAAGAGTAAATTATTCGCCATAACATGTTCTGTGCCAATTGTTCAACCTTCATGACCACGTAGATTTCATAGTGAAAGCAACTTTTTTTTGCAAAACATTTTTTTATTCGCACGCGCGCATCAGATTTGGGGTTCCCAGAGGATGTCATCCATATAATCAAATCAACATGGCCTAATTGCACGTAATTTTCATTTCTCTAAGCCTTGGGGACATTAGTCTACAAGAACATTTAACGTGCGTACATGTGCGTACATGTACGGTTTTTGTTTGAAAATGGCAAAAAAAGAACTCTAAATGCCTGCATAACAATAAAACAAACGCCCACTTTACCTAGTTAAATTCATTCATATTTTAACAAAATGGCAGGAGAAAGAGAATATATAGAAAGAGGAAAGAGAAGAAGAAGAGGATAAAACATGAAGGAAAACAATATATTCCATCCACACCTGGAGTGAAATATATAGTATGTGACCTATGCGATATGTGAATCCTTACAGATGTGCGATTCTAGCTCACTACAATAACAGGAAATGGGCCAGCACAAACCTTAATTGAAGCCAAGCCCTACCTCCGCATATTGTCACCCTATCTGCTCGTCAACAGTCGACAGAGAAAAAAACGTATTGGATTTAATTAACATCTTTGTTACTTTAAGCACAACCAGAATGAGGTTTAAGTACACCCAGAAGAAACATAAAATAATCAGGAGGGTTTACGAGAAAAAGATTGATGTTTTGTACCGTGGACGTTAACTGTAGAATAATGCTTGAAGACGGTTGTGTAAGTCATTTGGCACAGAACAAATGTGCCCAGTCCACACTACAAGGCAATCAGTACTTGACGATGATGATGATAGGTTACATAGCTGGAAAATCAGGACATTGCGGCCGATTACACCACATACGTACAGGCACACAGACGAGCTAGATGAAATACCCAACATATTTCATTCGACGAGCATAAGTCCATAGCAAGTAATCTTTATGGATGACATCAGCGCGCATTAATTTTAGCCTGATTTTGGAGAAAAAAAAAAGAAATTTTGTTGTCTTCTGACAGTGGTCAACATACCAATGGAAAAGATGTCTGTTGCCATGCCGGAAGGTGAATGGCAGATAACTATGAAGAGAGAAGACAAGAAATGGCTCTGATTTTGTTTCTTACTTTGATGCGGTGATATGTGATGCTGGCTATGTATATGTAATGTTCCCACTGAATCAAAACCATTTGTACAATGATTGAGTCAAATCTTAAATTGTAGGAACCTTATATTTTCGCCCGCTCGCATTAGATTTGGAGTCTGTGGAGGATGTCATCCATATAAATTACGTGCTGTGGCCTAAGCAGCAGTGTTGCAGAGTATATTAGGCTTCACAAACAACACAAAAGCATAACATTCCTGTCATCAATACCCGTGTGAGTAAAATGTCAAAGGCAGCTGGACGCCTAATCTAGAAGAAATGTTGGAAAAAATTACAGCAATTATCCACCAAAGTATTGACAGACATTTGATCAATGTTACTGAAACAAGCGTAGCTGCAGCTTTATAGAGCATCATCATTACAAACTTGCGTACATCTTTCAAGAATAAAATGATACATGAATCACGCTGTGAAAGATAACAAGTACTGTGAGGTAATTGTCCAAACGGATTGGAAAACATGGCCGATAAATATAGGATATTATCTAGAATCCATTCCGGTTTCCGTGAGATCTACAGAAGATTGATGACTCTGTTCTATCTAGATCCATGTATACAAACAAGTACAATCATCAACGAGGGGTATCTAGGGAGTAATTCTAATTTACACCTTAAACAGGTTTTGGCATAATGCCTAAATATATACATACAGTGAGTTCTATGGCGAATACACCTGTTGCTTCACAAGCCGTAGATCCCTGTGTTAGTAAGAGTAGAATGTTTGTTTAGGGCACATCTCATTGTAGGTTACATGTTGATACAAGGCATAAATTTGTATCAAGGAAGACATAGTCATTGGCTTGAGTCCGTGATACCGCTAATGTTTTGCAGGTTAAAATCTTTTGTAACTAACCCTCAGATAATTTTTGCGTACGTGTTTGCTACCGTAATTTTCTTTCTGCCGCCGGTCGCAGCGGATTTGTAAAAGTGGGTGGTTTAACTGTCATCACCGTCTGACGACCTGTTTCTGCTATTTCCGTTGAGTCTGACGACATGTGATTTTTTTTTGTCAACAAGAAGACAGCGCAGACGTCAATGTTGGCTAATCTGACGTGGGAGCAGACTTGTTCGTCAGATCCGATGAGTGGTGATCCCGTGACAAGCTGACTGTTCGCCTTTGATGCCAACTCCTGAGCTGTGGGAGAAGGAAGTGATTCATCCTTTAAATATAGCTGACGTCATCGCTCTGTGGGTGTTGATGAGAAAATGACGAATGATCTACAAAATGAGTTAAAAAACATAACTTTTGACCGTTTCCAAACTCATATCCAATTGCTTGTATAACTGTTTTTTGCGTATCTTATTACCTGATGTATAACCCTCACCGACGAGTATATATATATATATGAAACATGACTTGATCTTGAATCTTTTGCAATTGTAATGAATTCATCGAATTAAGAAATAGCCTATGAACTGTGTGTTTTTATCAAAATGTAATTTACATTGTACTCAGCGAATTTATACTAATTACTTTGAGCAGTAGAACTTTGCTGCTAATGCTAAATGTGTTTTTGGATTAAAGCCTGGAGGATTAATGCTACTAAGTCAAACGTCAAAACATTCTGTTATCTTAAATCTATTTGAAGGTGCAAATTTCTGAATGGAAGACCTTTATTGTACAGTTAACACTTACAAGCTAAGTGCAGGTCATGTATAAAGCAGAAGTAGAAATAACAGTCATATCTTACTACAACTATACAGGCTAATGTGAACTACTATGTACAGGTTCAACTTCTAGTTTAATTCTTCTCGATTCTAAGGCAGAAGAAGTCAATGGCAACAGCACGACGTCAGACCTGTTCAAGTCATCCCCTACCTTGGGCCTTAGATCGGTAATCTTGAATTTTTTAAATGCATTTTCGAGATTCAAACCCAAACACCACAGAGTCCTGCCTCTAACAGAAACATACATTTGTCAATGTGGAATAAACATGTGATTTTAAATCTCAATTCATGTACTTCACAATATTGTGAATTCGAAGTTTTGAGGGTACAATGTATAATCATCCGATTATAGACATGAACCTTACATGGTCCATTCTACATGTAACTTCAACATTTGAGAGTTTAGGTTTGTTGATGAGTAAAAATGACCCGTTTTTACAGTAGTGTCCTAACATACTATCCCGGTACAATGATGTGAGACCGGGCAGAAGGAGGCTTTAATTGGTCAGCCTGCGCCAACGCTTGGGGGGAAGGGCTCCCTGGAGAGTGGAATACGCACGCGCCGAGACGACCGAGCTCTTCAAATAAGGTCCACACAGCGGGAGTAACAAGTGGCTACAGGAAAGCAGTGGAGCTGCCGTCACAAGTCAACAAAGGGGAGAGACGCGATCGCTGGATAACATTCATCTTTCACTAGTGTGCACGACGAGTCACGCCAGGCAGCTGAGGCGTTGGAGAAGACAGTTGGCGGTATGTAAAAATGATGTTCTAGTTGTGTTAGCGTGGTCGTTTGGTAGTCTCCACCAGACTTCTTTGCAGGCTGAATAAATAGTAGAAATCGGCCTAAAAAGAATGTAGCTATAGAGCCATAGATGGTCCAGTTTGCCTCTATAGCCAGTCAACTTCCCTAGGCAGCTACAATCTACTATCAATTATGCCTGCAGAGGAGTCTGGTGGAGACTAGTCCTTTGGTCTGGTTTTTTTGTTGTCTATTGTAATGAGATCATTAATGGTAACGTCTATTTAAAGGAAATCCATGAATGGAGAAAATTTCTTCTATCATTAACGGCTTAACAATGGCTGCCACCGTCATCTACCTGTAGGGACATAAAGTTAACGGGGCGCAAGCCAATTATATATAGAGAGAATTTTAATAGCTAGCAAATTCAATGCATAAAATTAATTTTGGAACAGTATTGTATGTGGACCGTTTCATTTTCTTATCTCGAGGTTACCGCAGTAATGATTTATTAGCTTTTTATGGCAAAGAAGAAAGTAGAGATGTCCAGTATGAATATGTTCGATAAAACATTCTGATTACATACAAAAATCACGGAAAAAAGCATGGGGTGAAGACAATAACGTAATTTTGATATATAAGCAAAAAGGATTACTTGTGATCTTCTTTTCAAGTTTATACCTAAAAGTAAGAAAGCAAAGAAATGATTCACAATATTCTGGTATTCATCACATATATTTTTGAAATGTATATATTCTAGAAGCATTTTCACCTGTACACAAGGGACTGAAAAACATATTATCCATGCGTTTTTCGTTGTGTGTACACTAATAGTATTACCTAAAACGTACGAAAAATGCATCGTTATTTTTTCCACTGCTTCTTCAAGACATTCAGACAAGTGACGCCTCAAAATCACAAGGTAATGTGGTAGCTCATTGCTCACTGAGACTTGACTGTGAAGGGCGACTCCGATCTTTCCTTTCTCGATCAGAACAGAAATTTGCCGATTCTAGGGCAATATGGTCAGCAGAGGTTAAAGGATGCTTCCGACCCTAAGGCGGTGATCTCTCACGACATGGCCCTGGTGATGACCCTTGTATTGAAGGGATCAGTATCGTTTACCCTTTCAAACAAGACAGGTCTGAATTTGGCTTCAAAATGATTACACTTTCATTGCGGTCTAAGGGGGAGAATACATTGTTATTATTATCCTGACTCGTACAACACTGGCCCCGACAAGGGGTGCCATGCTTACGTTTCAGAAGAAATGATTTAAAAGTGTAAACGTCTAGACAGTTTTCTTTCAAGTTTGTTAGATCCTTGTCGATGCATATGGGGTGCCCATGTCCGTTTCTGAAACCACACAGTTTTACAAGCACTACAGCAAGAGGCGAGACAACTGATTGCGTTTGTACCTTTCTTGCAGTCTATGTCATAATCAAAGATATCGATATGACGGGACCGGGGTTCGAACCAGCGGCCTTTTGAATATAGTACAACATGTAAGCGGGATCACTACCTATTTGGGTTTAAAACCAGTTTTAAGGGACAGGTGAATTTAAAAATCAAGCACATTCATGAAATGTGTTCAAATACTCTTCATATCTTCTTTGAATGCGATTGTTGAGTGCGCCAGTCATCAGTTTTGGTCATTAAAACATTGCCTATCATTCGCGAGCGAATGAGCACGACAATGTGGCGACGATGTCTTTCATCTTGTCTGAGTTAATCTGTGTAAGTCGTATCCAGGGCCGTGGATACCAAACGATCAAGGGGCACACGCCATGGCAATTTTCTCATATTAAAGGCATGCTGAGTCTTTAATGTACAGATTGCGTTTTAAGTCATCTAATATGTTAGAATTCGAAGGAGTGGGGGAGTTTAACTCAACTTTAATACATGTGAAGCATTGAAGCAAAAACGTTTCTAAAACATGAAAAGGAGGTAAAATCAAACACAGATTTCTTTGTCTATCAACACTCCCTGTCGAAAACGTTATTTCGTTTTTTATATTGTTGAGGGGGATAAAAATACAGAAGATAAAACTATCTATGAAATATACATGTATTACCATTCCTTCGTAAATTGCTACCTGGTCGGACGAAAACGTTGACTAGCTATATATATATATATAGTTTTTTTTGGGGGGGGGGGGGGTTCGAGATACGTAAGAAATATGAATCCGTGAATAGTTTTCTAAGGTTGGTAAGTCAATCAATGAAAATACTGTTTTTTTATACAATGCAGTGTTTTTGCCACCGATTTGTGCAACGTGTGTCTTTTTACTAAAAAAAGACATGTCGGAATATGGAATCTTATGCAAATGCGGACTGAACGTCATTGGAAGAGATATAGAAAACCAGTTTAGAAAAGACGTATTGAACAAGGCATCTATGGACAGGAAGCAGGGGCCAAGGGCCCAAGCAAGTATGGACAGGAAGAAGTCTCTTTGATTAACATCCAGCTCACCATAGACAAAACAAGACTGAACGCCACGGCAACAAAACTATACGCCATGAAAACACAACTCTTGTAGAAGATCGACTTGTTTCTCTGGCAACTTGCCAACCATACTGATCCAAAAGAGAGAAGAATTAAAAGACATCCATGATGATAAAAAAGCACGAGTTTGTCAGGTATTGTCTTTAAGATAAAGTATCTACATACTGAAGACGTTTTGTCAGACTGTCAGGCATCTTTAGCTTTGAGAATGCGATAAGCCACTTGCTCGGGTAAGATAGGATTTAGAAGGCTCTAATATTGGCAACGGCGCCAATTTCTTTATCCTTTATCCATACAATATCTGTACCATCCCTGTCACTCTTGTTTCATCTCCAAATCATATAACCACTACAGAAATAAGCAAAGATTTAGTAAGCTTAAGTTGCGATATACTGTTCCGAAACAAATACATTCATGAATACTCTTATATTTTTACAATCATAGCACGTTTCCCTGTATACTTCTATCCTACATTTAAACTGGGTACCGTGATCTAATATGAATGCATGACTTACAAAAATCTTTTTTGATCACCACGCTCCAGCACTAACACAGTTACATGTCAGGATTTTCAACAGAAGTGAACAAAAGGAATAGAAACGTCTGTCTACGTTTAAGTTAGAAAGTTCAAAGACGGAGGTAATAATAAATTTAAACTCACCACATATATTCCGAGAACAATGACATGGCTTTTTCCGGGAATGTGGTAGTTGCGATTTGTCTTTCCACTACTTTGCCTTCCTTTCAACAATTCTCGAGTGCAGACTTCAAAGCCCCTGCAAAGCTAGAAAAGCTCAGTATAACGGACTAAAGTCGGCGGTGTGCGCGCCAAGGCCAGCGGGGACACGTCACTAATCCATCGGTCATGGTCCCTGGGAGCCAAAGGTTTTACCTTTCTTCACTGGGATTCGTTTGATCCTCACTACGACCGCAAAGCTTGTTTTTACTCAGTGATGTCAAAACTGACAACCAACTGGGAGGACTGCAATCGTAAGATGTGAACACATGACAAATTACAGTCTGCAATATTAAGGAATGCCCATCATAATATTTCCTATTTAATGGTTTTACCTCATCGCCACTTCGGCTTCTGCAGTGACATTCAGAGGTCAGTGTTCATGTTAAGGTTGTGCTGGTACTTTGGGGGTAAAATATTAGCATCTTAGCTTAGATATTCAAGGGGGGGAACACTACGTGGTGATCAATCATTTCACAGCGTACATAGAGTCTACAAGGCCTACCATCACGACCTGGTCCACCTTGTAAACAGATAATGCATACATCAGGAGGTCCCGTGCTTGAGGAGATCCACACCCTCGGTACCTACACCGGTACTACACGTATGAGAAAGAGTAGAGGTCCTTCCCGGTAATAGCGGTTCATAACCTCATGGTCCTATGGCCGCATCTTGGGCAATATCGTATTGGGGTTATCAGAGCGCTGAGAGGCGACATTAACCGACCCTTGTGATTTAACCCCACCAACTCTAAGCTCCTCGCAATTCAGGCCCTGACTGCGAAGAGAGAGGAGTCGGTTCACCCAATAACAATAGCAATGACATAATGAAGAATCGTGTAAGGGGGGGACATGCACGAATGAAAAGGAAAGATCGGTGCATTGCATCAACGTTGCATCCGACCGATATAAACACAAAGGCAGTGTCTCAAAGATGAAGGACTATAGCGCGCATGAATTTTTGGCCGTTTTTCAACCATAGTGTAAATCGTACAAAACAGTTGCAAAATGAGCAAATATACACCGTAAGTTGCAAAAGAATATTTAAAAACGATACCTTAGAAGGAAAAATCTAACAGAAAAGACGAAAATGTAAAGAAATGAATTTGAAGAGTAGATTATTCTCCATTATAGTCTGTGTCATTTGTTCAACCTGCATGACCACGTAGATTTCATAATGAAAGCAACTTTTTTTTGCAAAACGTTTTTTTTATTCGCACGCGCGAATCGCCTTCACAGAGCGCTGAGTGAAGAACAGAGGGTATGTTTTCAAGTCGTATGAGGAAAGAAAGGCAAAATCCATACTGACAAAAGAAATGAAAGCGGAGCGACCAATTAAAGCTAACTTGGCTTTGAAACTCATGCTGCAAAAGAATAATGACCACCCAGGGATAAACCAGACGCTCTGGGTGCAGCAAGCTTGTTGCCCGGTGTACCATTGGGCATTGGAGTATCTAAGTGTCAAATAACCACTATTTGAATATATATACAGATCTAAAAAACAGAAGGCTCCTTGCTACTTGCTGTTGTATGTACGCTTGAGCTACGCTCAATTGAAATACAAAAAAGGGACACCAACATGGCCGTCAACACGTGTGCTTGAGGTACGCTCAATTGAAATACAAAACGGGACACCAACATGGCCGCCAACACGTGTGCGTGAGGTACGCTCAACTGAAATACAAAAAAGGACACCAACATGGCCGTCAACACGAACGCTTGAGCTACGCTCAATTGTCTGAAATACAAAAAAAGGGACACCAACATGGCCGTTAACACGAACGCTTGAGCTACGCTGAATTAAAATACAAAAAGGGACACCAACATGGCCGTCAACACGTGTGCGTGAGGTACGCTCAACTGAAATACAAAAAAGACACCAACATGGCCGTCAACACGAACGCTTGAGGTACGCTCGATTGAAATACAAAACGGGACACCAACATGGTCGTCAGTGACACGTGTGCTTGAGGTACGCTCAATTGAAATACAAAAAAGGACACCAACATGGCCGTCAACATGTTCCTTCCTCGGTAAGAGATTTATAGCCAAATGAATTCTCCTGCACATTACAGTGCACATACGCGCGATTACATGTGATAACCAGTACTGCTGTATCTCTGCCCACTGCCCAATTTTTTTTAATGGACGAAAATACAAGGGCGGGTGTTGACCATGTAATCAACGTGGCCTTAGTAGTGCACCTTTTTTATTTATTCACATATATTTATTGAGTATTGGGCAAAAAGCAAAATTTGCTTATATAACACCTTCTACCTTATATAACTACGTCTAGTGCACCCTTGTGTTACTGTTAAAAGACAACTAAATTGGCCTTCCGGTGTCACTCTTGTAGGAGGGGCCGCTAAAAGTCTTCGAACATGGCGTCAACACTTAAGGTCTGTCTGCGCCTTTAAGTGATAATATATCACTGCGAGAAAGATGTGTTGTTAACGGCAATGTCATGGAATCACATGTATTCCTATATTTGTGACACCATGGTAAGTAGTACTATAAAAAGCCATTTATCTTTGAACGGGTGCATTTACTTATCATTAAGAGACAAGAATCTATCTTTAGAATACATACTCTAAATGTCAAATTCATGCAATAAACTTTAGGTTTCTAAATATAAGGAATCAGAACGCTGCAATAAGGAGGTAATACTGTATCCAAGCTCACAATTAGCTAGGAGATAAAGCACATAGGGCCACGGGTGTAGGTAGTAATTTCCCAAGTGTATACATTAACTCACAAAGTCCCCTACAGCATCATAGTCATCTATCCCTCCTGTTTTCGCCATTGCAATCGTTAACTGTCAAGGATATTTCGGTACTATACAATCATAGTATTCGTACTTAATACTTTTTTCTTTATACTTATAAGTTGTTAGCTAGTAAGAGATTTACATGACCATAGTGATTTCTATAACTTCTTGCTCGTGCCTTTTTGAACTTTAAGTTAAGTCTGATGATGATAGTAGTTTGTATAATGCACCGGGAAGAACGACAATGAGATTGTTGTCTAAATGTTGACTGTCTTCTGTTCTTAAATCTAGATAAATGGACTATCTTCTCAGTGTGAAGTAAAGATTATGGTTTGATGACGCACACAGGATTATGTTACTAGTGGGTCTATATATATATTATGTATCCCGTAATGATATTTTTAGTGACATTTAACTGTAAGTAATAAAGTTGCAGAAGAGATAGTCGTAAGTTTGGTAATATAATTGTATCTTGAACATGGTATGGTCATGATTTTCGGTTGAGACATATCTCCTGATCATTGGAAGAAGTTGTCTAAATTTTGGTATTTTCTGTGGGCGAATTTGGACAGGCTAATACACCGCGTACCGACAGATTTTTATTTGTAGTTTGTACCTTAACCCCAGACATATTCGTTTTTTTTTTTGTATTTGCGAAGTGCACACCACTATAAACTTTACCGAGTCGACGTGAGTCACCTTGGTGTCATTAAGTATGGAAATCACCATAGTGCGAAAACCGTGTTCTGCTACCTTGTACTTCAATTGCCCATTAAAACACACCATGAGCATGATCTGAAAAGCTAGCACGCCTAATACGTCTGTACGATAGCCGGAACCAGTTTGTAATTTTGAACTATGAAGACGCTTATGGAAATTACTGTCATGATAACAATGAAAATGCAATGTTCTAGCTGACTAGAACATGAAGAGGTTTACTTAAGAAAAAAACTTGTATTCCGATTTTTTCCACATGAAAGATAATGAATTGGTACAAAGACTATCTACACCTTGTATTTTAGCACCCGACCTGCAAAGGTTGGAAGTTCAGGAATCCCTAAGCTCATTTTTGTTGAGATGGCGCCTAGAATCGACGCTGTTGGAAAGACAAGGCGCCAGACATTGCCATTTGATCTCTTGTATTTTGTGTTAGTAACGCCGGAAATAATGCTAACGTCACATCCTTCGCCTACACAACATATCGACAGAACAAAACGCCATGTAATGTCTCCTTTAATGATCCATTATGCTCGGGGTTTTCTTGGACTTTTTGCTGCAATGTCCTAGCCGAAGGCATGTTAAGTTAATACATGTAATTGAAGGTTGTCACACTTTCTACTGCGTAGATGTTACTTCCCTAAGGAATGCCCCTGTTTTATTCAGTATCCCGATATAAAGTCGTGACGATTCTTTGGTTCTACGTAGTAATTAAGCTTACGGTTTTTTTCTTAATATGCCTTCCTGAGATATCGGAGAAGACGTCATTGTGACGTTAGTCCAGGTGCTTACGGCGTGCAATGATGCTTATGATTCTGACGTGCTTTGTTGTTCGCAGTGCAGACTACCATGGGTGTGAGAATAGTAGCGATGGTTGTGGTGTTGTTGCTGACGGAGGCGTGCGGCCTGCATGAGCTACGCGGCCGCGGAACGGACGTGTTCCTGGCCAACCCACCCAGCCGGAGAGGTGCGTTCCATTTTATTTCATTTATTTGCACAAATAAAAACATTAATCATCAAATGCAAAACAAAGAAACAAAATCAGTGTGCAGGAGGAGGAAAGAAGCCTGCAAGGTTTGTACAATGTCCTCCTCTTTGAAACTTACCAAATATTAATCGTGAAGCTGACAAACAATAGACATTCAGACAAGACAGTTTCTTTTATTTTTTTCCTTACTTCGCTGTTTATTTTTCGCTATTATTCTAATAACGTTAGTTTCCACTTTTCTTTGCTGCTATCAATACTTTACCTAACGCCTCTTTAGATATCAAATTTCATTTAATTTTGTTATCTATTTATGGTTTAATCTAGTTTACAGGCTTGGTGGCTACAGTTGGTCTGCAACAATAAAAGGTTAGAACGCACTTGATTTTTCGCATTTCGTGTTTTCTTTTTTTTAATCATTTTTGGTTTTTATTCTGCCTTTATTCTTTCCAGGCACATTCTTGGTCTCTATCAAGATATCAGTTAACTTAATGTCATTTCAGATTTGATGATTGTAAAGTCTGAAAATCTTTTGCTTCCCAGCAGGTGCAACACCCCACAAATGGTACGAAACCATCATGCGGCTCGACTCCCCCCACTTTGGGAAAAGACGGTCCATGTCTGACTACAGCCTCGAGGTCCCGGATGATAAAGTCATCGGGGAAATCGGCAAACATCGGGAGGGTCCGGAGAGAGTCCCGATGATCCTCACCGACAACGACGTCGGAAGAGATCGGCAACGCTCGGGAGAGAGCACTTTCCGAGTGAACAGAGGTGGCCAAAAATGCGTTTGCTGGTGACGTAAATAAGATTTTAAAATGGCTAAAAATCAATTTTTGGTTGGAATGTTTTAGCACTCAGTGGGCAATATGAGGTCATCGATTTCAGCTATGATGGTTATTTACATATTTTCATTATGATTTAGTATCTTACAGTGCATCAAAGGAGGTGTTTAAAAGATTTAAACACGATTTAAGTAAGTGGCAGAATTATTGTACCACACAGAGGCCACAAAGACATTGGAAACGTTTAAAGAAGTAATCTTAGCGGTGCATAGATTTGACTTATTGATTTCTAATTGATTTCCACGTTATAAGATGAATAGTACCTTGCTAAGTAACACGAGCATAATAAAAGTATCCCAGCAAGCTTTATATTTCATGAATCCTTTTTTTGCCGTTTCTCATCTTTTAAAACATATACAATTAGAGGACAAAGTTGGCGTTGCATAAAAATTGGCATTCAAATTATAAAGCTCAGATAACAACGCCACATCTTTTCAAGCACATTCTTTGTCTATATCAATATATCAGTTGCTTTAATATGACGAATAACTAGACAACATCAGAGGATAAATTTGGCGTTGCGTTCAAGTTGGCATTCAAATTATAAAGCCCGTAATAAACGGCAATTATCAATTCTGAATAAAGTTTAAAAATCAATAATGCAATGCCAGGAATCAAACCCACGCCGTGAGGCTAAAACCCTATATCCTCATCACAAGACCACATGGAGACAGCAGACAATGTGATTCATCTTCAACGAGGATTAAACAAAGCGGCTCACACTCTATGCCCAGCCCTCCCTAGCTGATAATGCTGTGTCTGACATAAGCAGTGACTGTCGTAAACGAAAAAAAAAGTATCTACGGTGGACGAAATGATGCCCCGCTGTTCAGGCTTGTCAATTAGCCACTTCCTGTTGTCGTACTGATGCCTATTACGCCTTTAGTGACAACAGGATATCAGACAGTCAGGCTTCCAGCTTCTGAGATCAGTGGATAATCAGAGAATTTCTTCGTATCACACATCCAGCAAATCACCCCCCCCCCACACACACACACCCGTGTAACACAGAAACGCAATATTCAAGGCAAACACAATATATATTCAACCTATGTTCAGGTGTGAGAAGAGCACTTTATTTTCAACATTGCTTCCCAAAATAGCATTCGTTTCTTTATCCCTAAAATAGCTTGGTCAGAATTATTGCGCGATGATAAAATTGGCACTTAGGATTTATCGGTCTAATATTAATAATGATTAATCCTCGAGGTCTATAGATAGGCCGTCATTTCTAGAGGGCATATCCTGTCACTTAAGCGATCTTACAGTCATCGCGTACATACGCTTTAATGAGGCAGCGTCGTGTGAAATAAACATATTAAACTATAGAATTTTTCACATTTAGATTGTTTTCTGAATATTAATAGAAAGATAATTCTTTTTCACAGCGATAACATGATGAGAGATATATTTAAAAAAATTTAATCATTTTTGTCACCTTATTACAAAGATACCGCTTTTTCAGAGGATAACGTTGTGTGACATGAACTAAATGGCTTCATTTTCAGTGACGAAGCACTACACACTTGGTAGCGAGTAGCTATTTTCGTGACCACCATCCTATGACTTCCGACGACAGAAGAAACCAAGCAACTAATACATAAGCCTTCACACTGAAGACTGGTACGAATCAGAGATGCATATGGACACTACGTCCAAAATATCAAAATATTTGAGGGTTCAAATGCGCAATGAGGCCATTCAAGTAGATATCGCCGGGCGGCACTGTTGAGAGCATAAATTGTATCTATAACTATGCCCAGTTAGAAGAGTACTAGTAAAAGGATATCTTATTACATATTATCAGCAGTATTTGCAAACAATGTAATCCATGGGTATTAAATGTTAAAAGTAGAACTTATTACAAGCAAAATACTGATATGCACCACTGTCCAGGTTTATCACCAACAAAAATCAATCATTCAATCAGTCAAACATAGGTACCCTTCATGTATATGCTGACTTAACTATACACAATAATTACATGATGTACGTTCAACCAAGTCAGCTCGGAAGCAGGAGGTTGCTGCCAGCAGAGTGGTGAGTGCTCAGTGCCGGAAGAGTTTCGTCTGGACGTCCGGAAACCCTGGGCGGCCTATGGCTGGTTTCACCGATTCCCAGTATTCTCTGGTATCTTTTCCACTGGAGGAACAGATATAAGATAGAAAATGTTGATATTAAAGCAGATCCTACGTTCCTACGGTGCCAAATCTGTACCCAATAGGCCAAGCAGTGTCCATTACATTAGCCACCGAGCAAATGTAAATAAATTGCTTGGTCAAGTGGATACTGTCTTGCCACTGTAGGATCTGTTTGGAGATAGCATGTCGTAGGTCTAAGATCACCGTGCCCTTTATGTTCCAATTGTGCCTGCACTGAACTTGAACATGAATATTACTTACGAGACTTTTTTCTTGGGTTGACTTCACAAGGTGCTCAGGGCAGATGCCAGTAATACGCGCATGCCTAGAGGGCCCAAAATGAGTACCGCATGTAGAAGAAAATGTCTTAATGTTGGAAACTGTTGCTTTTTTTTTTGGAGCTGGATGTTATAGGTAAGGGTTATTTGCATTTGATTATGTAAAAATGGAGTTTTGGCCATGTTTGGGGTGTCCAGGTCGCAAAAGAAGTCCTGGGTTTGCATGCCATCATCAGCTGGTGAGAGAGGTCAAAGGGCGCTTGTGCCTGTTCGGCTTAGCGTTTGGATGCCTTTAGCAGTATAGGATATTTTTTTTATACTTAACAAAATGGAGAGTTTAGAGGCCGAGTGACCCTATGAATGTGTACTTTTGATGCGGTTTTACTCAGGTAGGTGACTTTTCACACCTTCTTACATGTTTCCATGCATTTGAGTGGGATAGTTTATTACCGGGTCTTTGCCCATCACAAGACTACATGTACATGTACAAGCTGCACAAATACATTATAGTGTGGAGCTGGAATTGCTGATTACTACAGACTTACACCATCAGTGTTAAAGACTGTGATACCAAACGACAATGTGATGTGACATTCTTACATGATGAAGTCTTTCTCAGGTTGGTTAGTCTTCAGCCCCCCTCCCCAAGGACGGTGTTTCTTGCTAGCATCTCCTAGCTTTCCTCCGCGCTCTGGTGATAGCTGCAAAACGTAAAGAACTGTAAGGTACTTTTATAAGGCACTAATATTAGATCATATTACCTTCTATCATTCTAATATAGTACGTAATGCGACTGTGCGAGTAGGAGAGTCTTCGGTAGAAGGTTAGGACGATAGAAGGTACGTCATTTAGTCTCTAATTCCAACAAAGATGCAAGTATGGCATGCACTTTATACTAGAGAAATAATTCAAAACAATAGTTGACCAGTTTGTCGATAGAACTTATTGGAAATATTACAGCGAGGAAGAGGGGGGGGTGGTCTTACGTCATATCCGTGACTTTTACTAGGCATTATGGGAAGTGTGAAATTGGTGAATTGCAATACTTGACGACCGTAACTACCTCTTCAGAAATAGCCCGGATGTGGTGGGGCTCAAATCCACAGCAGCCACCGATGTACTTGACCCCGAGGTCAAAGGCCGCTCGGACAAAGTGGTTGACCTCAAACCGTGTCATCTGCCGGGGTCCCAGAGCTGGCAAAGTAATACAAAAATCATTTGAGAACAGACCAATGCTTGATTAGCCCTAATACTATCTTTGGACTGTTTGGACCCCTGCGTGTGCAATTCGGTAACTTCCGCTAGGTGGTGTTTTCAAGTAAACGCCCTAGCCTGTGTTCTGAGTGTCCCTGCAGTGCTACAGCACGGGAACGAACAATGTTTGAACTTAAACGTATAATCATTTTTGCTTGCCGGTTAAAGTCATTGCTGAAGTGGACTGAAGATAATTCAATTACCGAACGGAAACTCCGGCAGGATCGTCCACCCGTCCTTCGTCTGTTCGGTCTCCGGTGAAAAGAAGCCGTTCGGCTGTACCATCAGGTACGGGGACAGCCCTTCCTTATCTAGTGCATCCTTCATCATCTTTATGGTCTTCAGACAGGTGTTGGCATCGAACCGACAGTTTAACCCAACCACATCAGCACCTAGAAACACACAAGTGCAATAAGTGGCATCTTATTAACATAACATCAGCATGCTGTATATCTCCAGTTTACATATTGGACTTTGATACGCAATTATTTGCATCTCGGACAACAGCCTACTGAACTTTTAACTGCCTCGATGGCGCAGTAGGCAGCGCGTGAGTCTCATAATCTCAAGGTCGTGAGTTCGATCCTCACTCGGGGCAATTGTTTTTTTTTTCAGTTTGTTGCCTGCTATCATCATGCCGTTTCGTCGGTTACCCCTGTCATTTGAAAAGTGGCTTTCCCATACGTTTTACCCAACTTAAGAAATCAAGAACGTTGATCTCAGATTTTTTAAAACTTTATCATGATCACTAATCAGATTACAAAGGACTGGTGACTATATCAGCAATGCGTCAAACGTGGTGGGAAGTCGGTATCGTCCCCCGTACCGGGATTTTAGGCACTTACCGGCCTTTGCCATCCTGACGGCACACTCCCCAGGCGGCACATCACTGTCGTCTCCTAACGGCCCGATCCGAAGGGTGCAGGCTACAGGTTTTCCCTTTCCCCTGGCCTTCAGCACTTCAATAGCCCACTCAGCCTCCTCCACGTACCCAAAGAACTGTACACGTACAGTAAAAAAAATCGGTCAAAAATTCTTTTCCTATACACGTAACTCCCTTTGGGACATGTGTGACAAAATCGTGTGACTTAAACTTAGCCAAAAGGAGGCCCACAAGATGGCGGAATTGCAGTATGTGACGATTGAGCTCACGTGACTTACCTCAGCCAATAGGAAGTCCACATCATGCTCCACGAAGACGTCCACCTGTTTGCTGAATTCCTGCTGCACGGCGGCCTTGCCTTTCCCCTGCGCGTAGGACGGAGTGTTGGATAACCCTCCGCAGACTAAGGCATCCCCGTCCGCAGCAACCTCCTTCGCAATAGTACATGCCTGGTCGTTGACTTCTTTGCACTGGGTGGGGTAAATTATGATGTTTTACGCCATGTGAAGTTCTCTAAGACACACATTACTTTTGATATATCTTGAAAGTTCATCTGCGTTGGTGGAAGTTAATATACAGGTATGGGTAAGTTTAAAGTATGCTTGTTAGAAATTAATTTTTGCCGCCTAAAAGTGGGTTAAGCGGACGTCCACTTGAGGGAGGGGGGTTAGGTATAATCCAAACCAGACTAGAGGGCATTATCATAAAGCCAGAAGACGTCGACCAATCAGAAGGCTCCATTTCCTATCGGTTATCAGGCCCTAACCTCAAAAGTGGTCGGTTATTAGAAACCACATTTTGGACCGTACCATTATACAGAGGACAGGACACTAATCTAACAGTAGCGCACTCGGTGGTTTATTTGTTGGTTATCGCACCTGACCAGAGATTATCTCACCATATACACCTCGGGGCGGGGCATTAACCCTTTATTATTACCGTGAAGTTCTTCCCAGTCTCGTTCCCAGGGGCGTCAGGACCAGTCAGCGCTAGTCTGTCATCCGTCGACCAGAATGTGAAGGCCTGGAGCACATCTGCGCCTGCGCGCATGAACTCTCGGTGCACCTGTTTGACTGTAAACATGAATTAAGCTTCAGTATATAGAACATACATAAGAAGACATAATAGTTGTAACTAAAATATCTAAATCTATATAAATTGACCTTTTAGCTCACAGTGTATGTACAATTTAAAATCTTTTGCCGCTCGACTATTTTCAGCATTGAGCGTCCAGTGCTGACGCCGTTTTGACCATTGAATCAGAACTGGAACACTAGTGCTGAAGGCATGGCTTTCGTAGACTTGCTGGACATTATGCATTTGCTTTCCAAATGTTATTCTAGTTGATATATTTCTTTTGATCAAGTAAAGTGCATAGTCCAGTAGTTAGCGAAAGAGGTTGGTAGTTCGAATCCCGGCGGCTGATGTCGCTCACCCGACATGCACGCTACTGTTTAGGGTCGCAGTCCTTCGGGCGGGACGTTAAGCCGTGGTCCACTATTCATTGTGCTTGTCGAAAAGAGCTAGGGGAATTTCCCCGGTACAATGAACCTGTTAATACTGTACATAGCGTCTGTCTTCTCTGTCACGACCAGTGGAATATTAGCTCTTCAATGAGCTAAACTGGTTCGAGATCACTTTCACTTTTTAAGTGCATGCAAACCCACCTGCCTCCGGGTGTTCCATGACCGCCTCAGTGGTGTAGGGTCCGGCCATGACGTAACCGCGCTTCTCCAGGGTGAATAAATAACCCCCGTCCCCGACAACCGGACCCTCCCGCAGCCGCTCAAGTAGACCCTTCTTCACCATCTCCTGACGGAAGTAAAGATTCACACACACAAAAAAAATCTTATTTTAACCAGAAGGGGAGGACCATATTTTTTCCTGGGCAAATTTTGCTCAGAAAGGTCCAATTGTCTGCTACGAGGTCTGAATAATGTATATATATATATTGTTAAAATCTGCCCCAAATGTGTGACCTTTGGCATAGTTTCTTTCTAACTGGTTGGACTGGCACTGGGACAGGGGGTAAAATCATGGAGGTAAAAAATACATGGTACAATCCTCGTGTCTTTTCATATTTTGCCTGTTTCAGCTCTTTGAAATGCCGGAGTTGACCTTGCACTTTTTGGATCCACACAAAAAAACCCTTGACAAATCCAGATTTGCAGTGGGGGCATAGATCTGAGGTGTAACGTGCTTGTTTTTCATGGTATCACTGATAGATTTTGATGGAAAGAGCATTCGCTGGTCCCCTACAAAATTCACACAAGGGAAATGGGATGTTTACCTAGAACGTTATAATATTAGGTCTTGTACAGGATAAATAGCCCAACTGTTGAGGACCTTAGTAAGTTATACGACGTCACAAGTAACTCGGTACACCAGAATTCACACACCTCACAACAGACATTAACTACCAAGTCAATAGTCCAACGACCTACAGGACGAACCATATTCACGCTCAACCAGGGGAATAAATACAAAGGTCGACCGAACACACAGACTTTGAATGGCAAACCGCAGGATTTTCCCATAACAATCAGAATACTATTTCTTCTCAATGTTCTGTAGGAAGTTAAATATGTGTTGCTGGTTTTAGCACAATTTAAATGTTTTACCTTGTTATACTCTCGCCAGCTCGATATACTTGATACACTGCACAGCAAACTCTTGCCGACCCTTGAACTAGTTAAAAGGTCGAAGTACTAGTTTACACCAGGGTCTCGTAGCGGTGTTTATAAGTACTAGTTTACACCAGGGTCTCGTAGCGGTGTTTATAAGTACTGGTTTACACCAGGGTCTCGTAGCGGTGTTTTTAAGTACTAGTTTACACCAGGGTCTCGTAACGGTGTTTATAAGTACTAGTTTACACCGGGGTCTCGTAGCGGTGTTTATATGTACTAGCGGTCGGGCCGATACCTCGGGCGATACGGAATACCCCGTGTTGTATTCTATATTTATATCGTACCCGGGCCGCGATAACGTTCGATAACGGGTTCCGGACCGGTCCGTACTTTACGGTACGGCCCGGGCTTCTATGGCTTCCATAGAACACCTGTTTATCGGAGGGCCTGCATGCATTTTTGCGTGGAGAGCCCTTTCACTTCACTACGAATCAGACCTTACTTGTGTGTTAATGGCTTCCAGAAAATTCTTGCGTGACGCGTAATTGGTTGCGCTGTAATTCCACGTCTGATGTTTTTTTTTTTTTGTATCCCTAATTCATTATTGCACGTTATTACCCTCGCAAAGAACGTTATGTTTTCGTAGGTGTCCCTGTTTGTGTGTGTGTTTGTGTGTGTGTTTGTGTGTGTTTGTGTGTGTGTGTGTGTATAAACAAGATTACTCAAGAAGACTTGTCTTGATATTTGGTAGGTGGGTAGGTCTTGATGAGACATCGAAATTATTAGATTTTGGTCCCCCTGGCGGCTTGTTATGGTACTACAGCGGAACTTGTAACTGATGCTACACCGGTTTTTATATCCCATGATCTGGACATGTCACGAATTTTGCGCATAGTAGATAGCTCTTTTGCAATTTTCGTCAAAAAAGTATAAATGTTAATATTATTCAAATAGGCATCTCCAGACAATTAACTTCACCACGTATACGTAAGACGTATACTGGTTTGCATTGCGCATTGCGGATCAGCTACCGAAGGACGCACCTACAAGAACAACAGTACCCAGCGTCTGAGACATTCTACACGAGTTCCTGTCCAGAAGTTGCCGTCTGAAGCTATTTCACTGACTAGAAAGGTCTGTTTCTTACTTACGTATCCTCTTCATTCCTTGCGAGGCGTAAGGCCTTGATTTTTTCCTTCCATCTGGGTCTGTCCTTGGCCACCTTCTGTGACTTCTTCAGATATATCTGCGACGAATTCTGCCCGAACCAGAAAACCCAGACTAACCTTGCCACCTTGCCAGACCGCAGTCTGTTTAAAAGGTTTTTAGAGTTGTTAAAATATATGACTGTTCTTATCACAGGTCTTTGGAAAATGAGTTTATAGCAGCTGTTACTGTTTATTTTTAACCTGAACAGCTTTTTAAATGCACTGTTTGACCAAGAGTAACTGCATAACATAGTCCTACTATTGCTTGTGATTCCATTTCAGAAAAGGCAGATGATTCTTTCACGAGAACTATTAATTTTTCTATTTTTCTGCTAATTTCTTTGTCTGGGAAGGTACAGCGTTCAGAAAAATATTAGCAAACAACCTTAATATTAATATTCAAGCCATCCGCTTCAGACAATCAACACAACCATATCGCTAAGACCAAAGTAATTCAAAATAGTTTGTTAGTAATACAATATAAACAAAAACCACTGAGCCACGTATCCTACATGTACGACAGCAAACAATGGGATAGAAGGCACTTTTTAACTGATGCTACACCGGTTTGTATATCCCATGATCTGAACATGTCACGAATTTTGCATAGTAGATAGCTCTTTTGCAATTTTCATCAAAAAAGTATAAATGTTAATATTATTCAAATAGGCATCTCCAGACAATTAACTTCACCACGTATACGTAAGACGTGTGCTGGTTTGCATTGCGCATTGCGGATCAGCTACCGAAGGACGCACCCTACAAGAACAACAGTACCCAGCGTCTGAGGCATTCTACACGAGTTCCTGTCCAGAAGGTGCCGTCTGAAGCTATTTCACTGACTAGAAAGGTCTGTTTTTTACTTACTTACGTATCCATCTTCATTCCTTGCGAGGCGTAAGGCCTTGATTTTTTCCCTTCCATCTGGGTCTGTCCTTGGCCACCTTCTGCGACCTCTTCAGATACTTCTGCGACGAATTCTGCCCGAACCAGAAAATTCAGATTAACCCTGCCACCTTGCCAGACCGCAGTCTGTTTAAAAGGTTTTTAGAGTTGTTAAAATATATGACTGTTTCTATCACAGGTCTTTGGAAAATGAGTTTATAGCAGCTGTTACTGTTCATTTTTAATCCTTAACAGTTTTTTAAATGCACTGTTTGACCAAGAGTAACTGCACAACACAGTCCTACTATTGCTTGTGATTCCATTTCAGAAAAGGCAGATGATTCTTTCACGAGAACTATTAATTTTTCTATTTTTCTGCTGATTTCTTTGTCTGGGAAGGTACAGAGTTCAGAAAAATATTAGCAAACAACCTTAATATTAATATTCAAGCAATCCGCTTCAGACAATCAACACAACCATATCGCTAAGACCAAAGTAATTCAAAATCGTTTGTTAGTAACACAATATAAACACAAAACACTGAGCCACGTATCCTACAGGTACGGCAGCAAACAATATGGAGTGGAGGGCACTTTTTGCCTCAAATACACTCTCCAAGCAGAGGTTTAGGCTACAACTTATTTTTGGTCCTGTTTCTATGATTTTTATTGGGCTTCCTTGTGTAATGGTATGTCCCGGTATCGTCTTTTCCAACTTCCAAACCAGTATCCTTTATCACCGTATGATCTGCTTGGAGATCGGGGCCGGGCCTCAAAAAGCTAGTCCCAGGTCAAATGAACAAAATAAAAGCCCGGGCCCGGTTGGAATAAAGTTAAGCATCATTTGTGTTAATTCGAGCGGAGAAACGTGAAGTTACTATTACTTTATTGATGCTGAGGTCACATTTCCAAACCGGGGCCCGGTCGGGCTGTTTTGATTTAACAAATAAATCAACAACTTATATAAAAAAACTAAACAGTTCCCATGATCATTTTTTTCAGCTTTTTTGTGCTTTGTTGTCTTTTACATGTATATCATACTTTTTCGTTTTATAAGACTACTCGGCCGGGCCCCTGTTTGGAAATGTGACCTCAGCATTAGAAGGTACCTGTTTTTTTTAGGTTGGAGGACATCATGGGAAGAAAGCTGCGACACGTGCTGGTTTTCCTTCTTATCATCCTGGAGGAGCTCCACATGCCCTCCGCAAGACGACCTCACTGCTCCTGTAGAGCACCAGTACTAGTGTACCAGTGCCGCTGCTCACGCAAACAACTCCCCAGCATCCCTCAAAATCTCCCGAAAACTACCCCTGATTTAGACTTGTCATGTAATTATATTACTGTTGTAAATCAGTCTGAGCTGGTACGGTACAGGGATTTGGTTGCCTTGCATTTGGGGTCAAATCGTATTAGCATGGTTGATTGTTTACCTAATCTACCTAATCTTGAAACTTTGGACTTAAGTAGAAACCAAATAGCTGAAATCCACCCTGCAACTTTCACAAATGTACCACAGCTACGCTGGGTAATCTTAAACTCCAACAGAATAACCAACATACACCCCAGTACTTTTGCAAATCTAACGATGCTCTCAGGGTTGCAGCTGCAACACAACGGAATAGCAAATATTCAGACAGGTACATTTGCAAATCTATCTCAGCTAAAAGGGTTGAACTTGAACAGGAATAGAATAACAAATATTCAGACAGGTACACTTGCTAATCTATCCCAGCTAAAAGAGTTGGACTTGCGCTTTAATCAAATAACTGTACTTGATTCTGATACATTTTCTAATGTATCCTGTCTCCGAACGTTGCAACTGAGCGGTAACCAGACAAAGATGGTTCAATCAGGTACATTTGCAAGTCAAACCCAGCTCACAACGTTGACGCTGGATAATAACGAAAAATTAACAAACATTCAGACAGGTTCATTTGCAAATCTACCAAGCCTCAAAACGCTGAAGTTGTACATCAGCAAGATAGCAAAGGTTCGAACAGGTACATTTACAAACCTACCCCAGCTCAAAACTTTATGTCTGCAGTACAACCAGATAAACGTAATTCAGCCCGGTGCATTTGCAAACGTATCGCGGCTAGAAGAATTGGACCTTCGGCATAACAACATGTATACTATTTCACCTTTAGCTTATGGCTTGTTGCCATCTATCAACTTCATAAAACTTTATGGAAACCCCTGGCATTGTGACTGTAAGATGATTCCCTTCAGGCTGAACACGACTGAATTTCCATCATTTCAAAACGACATAAGATGCAGCAAACCAGCCAAATTCAAATGGGAAAGGCTTAGAAATGTTAATCTTGATGAACTGATATGTACAGTGTCAATCATGTCAACACCGATAGTCACACAGCCCATTGTTATTAGTACCTTAAAAAGTGCTAAAAACTGTTACAATACTGCCGCAACTTCTCGATATCATTGGTACTTTAAACGCAATGCAGACTCACTAGTACATCCTGCATACGAATCAAGCAAAACAACAGTGACGCTAACTCCACCCCCTGCAATTACATCAGACAAACCTGAAGGCAGCAATTCCCATGAGTCTTCTCTCACATTGCCCTTAGTTGTTCTCATTGGTTCTGGGGTTGGTTTGGGATCTGGCATTATTCTAGTGATCATTTTTGCAGTGTGTTATAAAAGGAAAACTAAGCATCCTCCTTTAGGAGTGAATCCCAACGTATATGGTGGCAATGCAAATACTGTAATGACCAGTGGTCATGATCAGACAGGACAGGGTCAGCCTCAGGCAAACTATCAATCTCTAAAAACGGGAAATCCGTCACATGATGAAGTGCTAGCTGCCTTAAAATCAAATGCTATGTATGTAAAGAACCCAGCATCTACAAGTGGCCATGGGAAGACAGGTCAGGGACAGTCTCAGGCTAACTTACAATCCCTCAAAGTTGTGAATCCATCACGTAAAGGCAAGGCCTTTAAGGCCTTAAATACTAACCCTATGTACACACAACAAAAGAACCCAACATCTACAAGTGGCCATGGGAAGACAGGTCAGGGACAGTCTCAGGCTAACTTACAATCCCTCAAAGTTGTGAATCCATCACGTAAAGGCAAGGCCTTTAAGGCCTTAAATACTAACCCTATGTACACACAACAAAAGAACCCAACATCTACAAGTGGCCATGAGAAGGCAGGGCAGGGTCAGTCTCAGGCCAACACTGAATCCAACACAAACACCACAGCTAACGTAATGGCCAGTGATGACGATCGCCAGTATGAAGACATTGACAATGTACGAGTTAAGACAGGGCAGGGTCAGTCTCATGCTATAACTGAATCCAACACAAACACTACAGCTACTGTAGTGACCAGTGTTCAGGATCAAATGTATGAAGATATAGATAACCATCCTGTTAAGACAGGACAGGGTCAGTCTCAGGCCAACACAAACACTACAGCTACTGTAGGGACCAGTGGTCAGGATCAAATGTATGAAGATATTGATAACCATCATGTACAGACAGGGCAAGGTAAGTTCTCAGGCTAACACTGAATCCAACACAAACACTACAGATACTGTAGTGGCCAAGTGTTCAGAATCAGCTGTATGAAGATTTTTACAACCATATGCATCATGTACAGACAGGGCAGGGTCAGTCTCAGCCCATCACTGAATCCAACACAAACACCACAGATACTGTAGTGGCCGGTGGTCAGGATCAAAGGTATGAAGATTTTTACAACCATCATGTAAAGACAGGGCAGGGCCCGTATCAGGCCATCGATATCGATGAATCCTTGGATTCTAGAAATCAATCTTATGCCACAGGTCCTACTATCCCGCAGCTAAACTCTCTGTACGAAAATGTAGAAACACAATAAATAAATCCACATTTTAACAGGATGGCAACTATTGGACAGCCGATGAATAACAAAGAACATAGAAATTAGTCTTTGAAATCATCGAAAGACCACTGAGAGATCTTGTAATAGTCTTGGAAAAAGTTGAGGATCATTCGAAATCACCAAGCAAGTAGATTTTCCTGCATCTCTAGAACACTAGACATCTATATAATTGTTAACTTTCGAATATCAGCCCAGCTGCCTGTAAGTCAATGTAATATACTGTTGCATTTAATTACATACAAGGCTCGAAATACTGGGTAGATTTGTACCTTAGTGGGTGCACCAGTGCACCCAAATGTTTTCGGAGGTTTACGTGTGTTAAGATGTTGAAAGTACGGATGTATACAGCGCTAGCATATTCTTAACATCTGTGTCAGAAAAATGATAGAATCATTGTACTTTTCTTTAGAAATGAAACAATTTTTCTGACATTCTACATATCTTATCTTACATGTATATGTTGCACCCAAAAACTTTTTGTGCAACAAGTTCACCCCCTGCAATCACATCGGACAAACCAGAAAGCAGCAATTCCCAAGAATCTTCTCTCACATTTTAACAGCATATATGAATAACAAAGAACATAGAAATTAGTCTTTGAAATCATCGAAAGACCACTGAGAGATCTTGTAATAGTCTTGGAAGAATTTGTAGATCATTCAAAATCACCAAACAAGTAGATTTACCTGCATCTCTAGAACACTTAGCTCTGTATATAATTGTTAACTTTCGAATATCAGCCCAGTTGCCTGTAAGTCAATGTAATATAGTGTTGCATTTATTTACATACAGGGCTCGAAATACTGGGTACATGTGCACCTCAGTGCACCCAATGTTTTTTTTCCAAATTTTTTTCGAAGGTTTACGTATGTTAAGATGTTGAAAATACATACGGATGTATACAGCGCTAGCATATTCTTAACATCTAAGTGTCAGAAAAATAATAGAATCATTGTACTTTTCTTTAGAAATGAAACAGTTAATTTTTTTTAACATTCTACATATCTTATCTTACATGTATATGTTGCACCCAAAAACTTTTTGTGCAACAAGTTCACCCCCTGCAATCACATCGGACAAACCAGAAAGCAGCAATTCCCAAGAATCTTCTCTCACATTTTAACAGCCTATATGAATAGCGAAGAACATAGAAATTAGTCTTTGAAATCATCGAAAGACCACTGAGAGATCTTTTAATAGTCTTGGAAGAACTTGTGGATCATTCAAAATCACCAAACAAGTAGATTTTCCTGCATCTCCAGAACACTAGACCTCTATATAATTGTTAACTTTCGAATATCAGCCCAACTGCCTGTAGGTCAATGTAATATGTTGCATTTGATTACATACATGGCTCGAAATACTGGGTACATGTGTACCTTAGTGCACCCATTTTTTCTGTGGGTGCACCAGTGCACCAAAATGTTTTCGGAGGTTTACGTATGTTAAGATGTTGAAAATACGGATGTATACATCGCTAGCATATTCTTAACATCTGTGTCAGAAAAGTGATAGAATCATTGTACTTTTCTTTAGAAATGAAACAGTTAATTTTTCTGACATTCTACATATCTTACATGTATATGTTGCACCCAAAAACGTTTTGTGCACCCAATGTTTTAGGTTGGGTTCAATGCACCTATTCCCAAAAATTCATTTCGAGCCCTGAATAATAAAATGAAGAAAAAAAATGAAATAAAAATCTCTAGAACACAAGCTATCCACTGAAGTACTAGTAATATGCTCTTTATTCATTTATTTAAATAATGTATACCAATAAAATATGTATACGACACATACTTTCATAAAAGTAAACACCAACCTTTTATTCTCTGGTCAACAAAGTACTTTAACAAAGCCTTGGCCTATTGTTAGATAAATTCGGGCTTCAAGCATTTAATTTTCTTTAGAAGCCACCGGGTACCAAGTTCGATTATACAGGTAGATACAACAAAACTCGTTCTAACTATTTCTCTTGAGTAAAATATATAATTCTGTTTAGATGTTTTACGTCGTATTATTTAGCACTTTTAATTAGTACAATTGCAACTTGATATGTAAACAAATACATATTATGCACACCTAGCCATAGGCAATATCAAGATACAGGTGGTATGAATACGCCCTCATAATATACTGTAAGGTAAAATTGTCCTTTCTTTGTACTGATGAAACCTTTGCCATTTATGCCAGAATATTAATTCCATGTTTTATGCATTTGCAATAAACAAGTCCATTTATATAAATGCCGGTTTGAATGTTTTCTAATTTTCTAATTACTTTATATAGTATTCATTGATAATTTGTTTAGTTTCATAGAATCCTGCGTGTTTTCTGACTCTCGTAGCTAAGATTACTCAACAGGCTCTTCTAGTTTCACGTACTCTCCTAACTTTTTACCGGACACATTGTCTTTCTCGATGACTTTATCTTCGTCTTCGAGTCGGACGTAGTTCGACGCGTCTTTCGCCTGTATGACGACGTCTGGTACGAACTGTTCGCGGAGGCTGTTCAATTCCTGAAGCTCGTGGTCATCGTCCTCTGGTTTGGGGAAAACATCCCGATCTTCTAGCTGTCTGCGCTTCCTCCTCCTGTAGAAGACGACTCCCAAAATGGCACACACCAGAATGACGCAAATGGTTACCACGGTCAACCCGAACGCTGTCCCCTTCCCAGAATTCCCCGCGTGAGACGACTGCGCATGCACGGTGACCTTATGACATTCCTCATTTGCTATTGGTGCAATGTGCTTTAGGTCTTCATCGATGGGCGTAATACACACAATATATTGCATATCTGGGCTAAGATCTTTTACTATGTATTCAAACAACCCTGGGGGAAGAATTGTCTCTTCTTTAAACGTGTCGTCGTCAGACTTCAATACAGATATTTTGTACGAAAGGTCGTCGACTGGAGAAGACCACGTGACCTTCAGTGCTGTGTCATTGATTTCTGTGATCGTGATGTCATCTCCCTTGTGATTAGGGGTTTCACATCGCCGCCCGGTGAAACCGACCTTGCATCGACACTCAAGGTTGTTTGTTGCCATGACAACGCACTGGCCGCCATTTTGGCATTCCAAGTCGCAAGGGATGACGGTAGTGATCGACTGTGGGGACGTTTTTTGCGGGGTGGGAGGTTGAATTGTCTGGGTTGTTTCCTTTGATGTTAGCGTCCCTGTAGAAACAGAACGTTTCTCAGTTGTGGTAGACCCGGCTGCTGTGCTAGCTGTTTGCGTCACTGGAAGCGACCGTTGATCTAAAGGCAACGTACTGCTGCTCACGAAGCTTGATGGATCCAAGGAGGTTATAGGATCTTGACAAATGAAATCATCATCAAAAAGATCTTTCACTGCCATTCCACGCAAGTCGCTAGGATTGAAGCACGTTGCGTCGGATTTGATGACGGGCCACGCCAACATCCATCCCAAACGGCAATCACAGTTCAAAGGGTTGCCTAGGAGCTCCATGGTCAGCAACGATGGCAGGTCCTCTTCTGCCTGTCCTCGGTGGATAGTTTCGATGCCTGAATTCCGGAGATAGACAAACCTTAAACTCGGCACCCGAAACGTGTCCACATCAACACTCTTAAGATTCACATTCTCTTCCAGGAATATCTTAAAGATTAGTCTCATCTGCTTAAAGACACCAGTCTCGATTTCCCTTACATCATTGTCTGACATAAACAACATCCATAGATTATCAAGACCTTGAAATGAATCATTTTGAAGTGTCGAAATCTGGTTTCCACTCAAAGACAATATCTGGATGTTTGTGAGGTTTTTAAGGGCTATGGGTACTGTAGTGAGCAGATTATTTTGTATACTAAGGCTCCGCAAGGAGTCAAAAGGTCGCCCAGTGACCTCAGATATGTTATTGTTGTCCAGATTTAACATACTTAATTTGGACATTCCTACGAAGTCGTCTTCTCTCACTGTTTGCATGCCGATATCTTGGAGTTGTAGTGTAGATAACTGAGGGAAGATGTTAGCAAGCCTGCTTAGATGTGCTTTGCCCAGCGGGTTAGAATTCAAGGTAAGAATTGAGACGGTGTTGGCTGGCATGTCGTTGGGAATGTCTGCGACGCTATTGTTAGTAAGGACAAGGCTTTGTAGGGAGCGCATGTCCTCTAGCCCGACAGGAAGTGACGTCATTCTGTTTCCGGTGAGATCCAGGTTACGTAGATGGTCGACTCCTCTAAACGCGCCGTTTTCAACGCCACGAATTTTGTTGTGGGCAAGGGTAATAGAGGTCACTTCTAACAAACCGTTAAAGGTATTTCTTGGTAGTGATTCGACTTCGTTATGTTCAAGTCGAAGGGTTTTTACGTCAATCAAGCCGGCAAAGGCGCCATCTTCAAAGGTTTCTATTCTGGAGTGAGCAAGATCAAGTTGGGTGACTTCGTGCAAGCCTTCGAACGCCCCCTTGCGCATCACTGTGATATTACAGTTCTCCATGATGAGAACACTCAGTAGTGAAAGTCCCTGGAATGAACCGTTTGTCAACTGTTGCAACTTGTTGCCTGAAAGTTCTAGATACTGAAGCGTACCGAGTCCATTAAACGCACCTGGTTGTATCTCGTCAATGCTGTTGTTTGAAAGATACAGATATCGAAGCTGTGACATATTAGCGAAGGCATTGGGTTCGACTGCAGTGATGAGATTCCCCTCTAGGTGAAGCTTCTTCACGGTCCGTGGTAAGCCCGATGGGACCCGAGTGAGTTTGTTTTCGCGAAGCCACAGATACAGGAGGTACGAGAGCTGCTCCATGGCACCAGTCTCGATCCCAGGATTGTCAAGACTATTGCGGCTTAAATCGAGATAAACCAAACGCGTCACACCGCTAAAGGTGTCAGGCTGGATCTGAGAAATATTGTTCCCCCCGATGTACAAGTGGGTTAGTCTAGCAGATCTCAAAGTCGGGATTTCTTTTAGTCGGTTGTCAGACAAAAATAATTGTTGTAAAGTGTGGATACCAGATAGCTCTCCGGGAGAAATGGCATCATTGGTAAGGTAGTTTCCCCCCAAATGTATCCTCGCGATTCCTATAAGGCGCGGGTACAGAGTTCCTCTCGGGATTCGTGTGATCTTGTTGGAGGCAAGGGCAAGCTGCCACAGTCCCGTCAGCCCTTGCGGTACAGCCGTGAGCAGGTTTTCGGTCAGGTCGAGCAGCCGAAGGTTCCGATTGGACACGAAGGCGTCCGGTGGAACTCCCTGATTGGTTATGCTGTTGTTCATGAGGTAAAGCTGACGGAGTGACGTCATGTGGGCCAGGGCGCGCCTGGAAACAGACGATATGTTGTTCCCCTCGAGGTGTAGGTAGACGGTGCTGTCGGGCAAATTGTCGGGAATCTCAGTCAGGTTTGCATGGGCGCAGTGTGGACGGTTGCCATAGCAACGGCAGACGGACGGGCACTGTTCAGCTGTGCTGCCAATCAGAGCCACCGTCAGCAGCGTTGTCACAGCGAACGAATACTTCCTACTGAACATTTTCTCTTAACGACAGCCACCAATTCTGAGGCAAATCGTTGTCCTTGTCAGTTTTGAAGGGGAAATCAACTCAGAATACCGAAAGTCAATGGTTTTGTGTTTCTGGCGTACCAAAAGGGAAACTAGTCAGTGTCATTGGTCCATCTTTGAAGTCGTGACGCTTGAGATTCTGAGCTGGTATCCTCGTTGTTGCTAACACATCTGTGGGAAGAATGAAATGCAAAAACAATTTAGCTTTTACAATCTGCAATTTAGCTTTTATGATTGCATCTTCGTTCAACAAAGGCGTCCAGCATTGATCTACAATCAGATGTTGGGACGGAAGCCCGTTGTCAGAAAAGACTGCCTGTCAGAAAAGCACAACTTTGGCTGTCAGAAATGCCAAGTTGTGGTGTCAGAAAAGCCAGGCCGTGCTGTCGGCGCGGCGGCAGCTAGCTATATCACACCGAAAGACTTGTTACACTCAATCTTTGCACATTTAGTTGCAGTTGTTCAAAGCATTCTAGTGATCTAGCTTTATTATAGCTTTGGAGCCCCCACAATTTTGTTAAACACATGATTGTCCAAACAATGTCCTGACTTAACTGCCGTGAGCGTATTGGGTACTAGTGTATCACACGATGACCGTGACAGCGCCCTTTAAGCATTGTTAATGTTAATGCCATAATTACTTTTTCCGGTGTTACACCCAGAAGAGGTGTAGACATGTGAACGTGCCAAAAATCATAAAAAGGTTCGGGCAATTTTATATCATAAAACATCACTGCTAGCAAAGATTTGATATAGTGCGGTCAGAGAATAATCAAGATGTGTTCTTTGTCACTAAAACTGCTTGTTAAGTAAACACGTACACTCTGTACAAAAGTAAACACAATCTAAAACCACAATTTTGTACACAGATGACTTAAACGTATAGTGAAAAGCGATTTCACAACTGCGATTAACGTTTTCTGACTTCATAATGAGTTATTCATAGTTAAGCCGTCTGGTCAGTATTGTTTACTTTAGTGATTACAAACGTTCTACACAGAAGGACACAACTTTCTTCTGTGTGGCACTGTAACAAAGAAACCTGAAGACTTCATCCGGGGTATAATGACATCCGGGGTATAATGACATGGTCTGTGCCCGGAGGGGACAGGAGGGAGTCTTTGTCTGCTGTGACTTCTGTGACCTTGAGGAGTTCGTAGAGGTCACCGCACACAGTAATCGTCTCTGTACATCGCGACAAGGATCGTTGACATTTGTCATTAGGTCTATTGGGACTGAATGACAAAGGCGGGAATACAGTGACAGCAATAGAAGGGGGAGGGGGGGAAATGAGTCGAAGATTTTCGCCCATCCTGTAGAACTGTAGAACTTACAAGTATAATTACTAAATAATCTCCAAGAAGATAGCACGTTATTTCATATCCTGAATTTATCGTTAATCGTTATTTTAAAAAGTCTTCTTAGTCGAACGTCAGATTGCTCAAAATTTTAAAACGACACAGCGTCCAAGGGTCACAGACTAATTTTGCAAAACAACCCCGTGGATGCAAAAGAGTATTCCAACGAAGTCGACCCCAAAGCCTTACACCTTACGACTTAATTTCCCGTCAGGGTTTGCAGGTTCGCCTGAATTTACCACTAAGCGTTGCCAGGATTCCCCCATTCAGACCCTCCTTGGAATGTACCCAAATCTAGATAAGACTGATATTTTGATGCGCACAACTCCCACAGGTGACAGTGTCTTTATCTAAATCTACACAGGACAAAAGACAGACACATAAACACTTCACACTTTTCCCGGTGGTTGTTTATGTGATCAACGATCGGTTACACACGTTTGTGACGTGTTTTGAAAACAATGGCTGTTGAACAACAAACGAATTAGAAACCGGAGGGAAGTCCGTGTGTTTGAGAAAAAATTCCAATGGACCTAAAGAAGAGTGTTGGGGCAATAATTAAGGGTTAATGACCTGCCCCGAGGTGAATATGGTGTGATAAAGCCTTGTCAGGTGCTATAACCATCGAATAAAGCCACCGAGTGAGCGCAGCTTTATTGAGATGTCAATATAAGAGTTTTTTTCCTCATCCAGAATATTTTTTGTTTTGTTTTACCACCCTGACATTGTATTGGGTGTCTTTAGGTTTAATAGCTCTTGAAAACAACGCAAAGCAGACACAGACCGGCACTGTATCTAAAACAAAATAATGGCAGACGCTGAGAAAGAACTCACCGAAACGAAGGCAGCGCCACCCAAAGGCCGAAGTGTCGCATGTGAAGGTCGTTCTAATGATATAATGTTTACATTTGGATGCGATCTATGAGCTCAGCTCGTCAAGCAAGTGGCACCAATTATCATATGGCCCCAGGGTCTATTTGGAGGATAGTCGAATGTAAATTTTCCTCAAAATATTTCTTTTAAGAAACTATATCATACAAAAACCACCCACAACACTCAAGAAGATTGACGCTCATGTATAGTTTTTTTTTAAGTCAAAAACACAGCAGTGCAATCATTTTTGTTAGTCATGTATTAAAATTACAGATAGAAATTAAAACATTGCAATGTCCCTTCGGGAAATTTGGTACGTTACTTTTTAAAGACATCTGTTGAACTGAGATAGAGAGATTGTGTGAGTGACAATTGATATGCTTCCTTATCGGATTCTTTCTCGACTTCTTGCCAAAGTTTGGATTACAATGTCGATTCTTCTGGGGATAGAACCCCTCCCACTCCTTTCTCTTCAGTGGTTAAAACCTCATCATTTCCACAACATGTATGTAAACATTGCGAATGTCGAGCTTCCTTAACGACCGGTTAAACTGCTTTAAACCCTTGTCACGAAATGTCCAAAACACACAGGCGAAATTAAAAACCACTTACCTCCAAACAGTCACGTCTACTCATGAATCTAAAACGGCATCAACAAGTAGAAAGATCTGAATTTTTTTCCTGAACATGTTCCTTTTTCGTCTAGTTTGCTACCACTTGACGAGCATGTAGTTGTAGTTTGTAGTTCTTAAGCTAGTGCTACATAATGTGAAAGGTGTTTGATACGCACCTTTGACTTGAGAATATGTTGCGTGACGTTTGTCTCAGAGTGGCGATCGTCGCTAGCTGACTTGTTGTCGTCGAACCAAAAGTCGTCTGACGATGTCAACACTTTCTCACGAGGGCCCACAGGTTCTGACGTTGTTCTCTCAGTCGTTCTGTGTTTCTCTGTGGCCCGCGGCTGGGATCGTCTGCATTGTTATGCAAATGCGCACATGGTCCCGGGACGGAGCACGTTTGACTAGAGGCACTAGCTAGCCTCCTTCGCAGACTTTTGGGTGGCGGTGTTATTATTTTTTTTCTGGGACTCGGAGCGACACGAGTTATGCCGCGTAGGGACGGTTTTGCTGCCGAGTGCAAGCAGACTTCTTAGGCGAAAGTCCCTCGGCGGCAAAACCGTCCCTCCGCGGCATAACTCGCATCACTCCCCGAAAAAAAAGTTAACGTTGCCCCCCTCGGAAGTCTGCATAGGAGGCTAAGTGGCACGCGGGGGCACACGAAGGACAGTCTAGTCTCCACCAGACTAATCAAAACACAGTTCAAAAGCAGTTAAATTCAGCCAAATAGAAGGACTAATGAGCCGGCAAAATCTTGTATTAAAGTACATGTATGAATTTTTAGCTAGGAAAGTTTCGTCACTGTAAAGTTCACTTGCCCGCTGTACCTTCCCGTGGACTGACTCGCCTGGCTTCGTTTTTCCACCGAATTCTACGATCCGTATCCCCGTAGGAAGGCCTGGTGGAGGCTAGAACAGGTCCCTTGATTTTGCCTCCGGCGCTTCGTGGGGAGGATTTTAAACAGTCGAGCAGAAAAAAAACAATCCGCTGGGAGAAACAGTTCGATGGGAAAGATAGAGGCCAGCGGATCGGAACATGAGTGCACCTGGAACTGTTTGTGTGAAAGGGAGAAGGTTCATCATGGGCCCATGCGTACGTTGTGAGTGTTTAACTCTAGAAGTGTCATTGAACGAGTTGGTCTGTGTGAGGTAAAGTCGAGGCGCGAGGTGTCGCTTTTGAAGTGTTCGACAAGCAGAGACACACACAATGTATATATACATATATGGCTTGTACACATACATAAACACAGGCACACGTCTATAACACATAATCTTTACATACTATGCAGAAGTTTACAACCTTAAACCTTTAGGTCCCTTTTAGAGGTTTTTATCCTTGATCTTCACGTACAGAGAACACCCCTGGATGTTCCAACAGAGGTTTACTCCCATAGGCTGTAGTCACTAAGATAGCTGTAACGTTAACTTATACACGAATTTGTTGAAGAGTTTCTTCAACAAATTCGTGTATAAGTTAACGTTACAGCTATCTGTCTAAAACACAGTGCTAAATATATTTACTCCCCTCGATTTTTCTACAGAGGTTTTCTCATGTGAATTTCTTTAACAAATGTTTACTCCCCTGGGCAGTCGTAGCTTTCTTCAACAAACGTTGTTTTTTTCTTAAATCTTAACACTGCGTTAATTACAACTAAACACTCCCCAGTAGTACCGACGACTGTACTGCACACTTTCCTGGGCTGGGTTTTCAAACTCAATACATTACGTCATCTGATTGCTATGACTCTCATGCACCAATAGGGACGCAGATATCTGCATGTTGCCTTGGATATTGAACGTGAGATTGACATAAAATTAAAGTAAACATGCTTCCCATTGGTGCTTCCTAGGTTTTTACCTACCTGGTTTATACGCACTAGCGGCACTACAGTGTGGGTTTGTTGAGAAAAACAAGTCCAAAGTACCAATGCTGAGTTCATCATTAATTACGTTTCAATCAAAGAAGTTTTCACCTTCAACCTAGTAAGCAAACAGTTATATTGGAATTACGACACACTGTATATCATTTTAAACTTTTATAGCAACTTTATTTCACAGAGGTTTTCTCTAGATTTTTCTACAGAGGTTTTCTCCTCTGGATTTCTTTAACAGAGGTTGACTCCCCTGGACAGTCGTAGGTTTCTTTAATAAATACATGTATGTGACTATGTTTCTAGAACATGAACAGTGCTCAATGTCCGTTAAAGTTTGTTTTTTCTACAGAGGTTTTCTCCTCCAGATTTCTTTAACAGAGGTTGACTCCCCTGGACAGTCGTAGGTTTCTTCAATAAATACATACATGTGACTATGTTTATAGAACATTGACAGTGCCCAATGTCCCTTTTGTTTTTTTACAGAGGTTTTCTCCTCCGGATTTCTTTAACAGAGGTTGACTCCCCTGGACAGTCGTAGGTTTCTTCAATAAATACATGTATGTGACTATGTTTCTAGAACATGAACAGTGCTCAATGTCCGTTAAAGTTTGTTTTTTCTACAGAGGTTTTCTCCTCCAGATTTCTTTAACAGAGGTTGACTCCCCTGGACAGTCGTAGGTTTCTTTAATAAATACATGTATGTGACTATGTTTCTAGAACATGAACAGTGCTCAATGTCCGTTAAAGTTTGTTTTTTCTACAGAGGTTTTCTCCTCCAGATTTCTTTAACAGAGGTTGACTCCCCTGGACAGTCGTAGGTTTCTTTAATAAATACATACATGTGACTATGTTTATAGAACATTGACAGTGCCCAATGTCCCTTTTGTTTTTTTACAGAGGTTTTCTCCTCCGGATTTCTTTAACAGAGGTTGACTCCCCTGGACAGTCGTAGGTTTCTTCAATAAACGTATGTTGTTGTTTTTTCTTTGATCTTAACACAGTGTTTAACATGGCACTTCCCAGGTTACTGGCTTTGATTTGTTTTACAGAGGTTTACTCCCCTGGACAGTCGTTAGAATCTTCAATAAATAGTTCCACATAAAGTTCAACTTGTATACCATAAGTCATTGACAATGTTATAAAACTAACAAGTTAAAGTTAGAGCCCATCGATAGAGTACAACTGCATATATATGTCCCCTCACGTGGTTTAGCCCGCCTGCTGAAGCGGTGTACCGGGATGTGGCGCTTGGAGCCAGCACGTGAGAGTTTAGGGGATGGATGAGGACCAGTGGTGCCCGGACCACTCGACTGGGTAAAGTGCAGCATGCCAGACAAACAAAGGATCACACCTCTATCCAGAGCCCCCTACACCCTTGATTTTTTTTACAGAGGTTTACTCCCCTGGATTTTTTTACAGAGGTTTACTCCCCTGGATTTTTTTACAGAGGTTTACTCCCCTGGATTTTGTTACTGAGGTTTACTCCTCTACTGCTTTATAATACAATTGTATATATGTATAACTTCTTATATATGTATAACTTCACTAGATGGTTCATAAGTGATTTTTTTACAGAGGTTTACTCCCCTGGATTTTGTTACTGAGGTTTACTCCTCTACTACTTTATAACATAATTGTATATATGTATAACTTCTTATATATGTATAACTTCACTAGATGGTTCATAAGTGATTTTTTTACAGAGGTTTACTCCCCTGGATTTTTTTTACAGGGCTTTACTCCCCTGGACAGTATAACTTTTATAACTTTTTACATAATAACAAATCTATTTGAACTTCCGTAATATGCATAATATAACTCTGATATTCATGATAATAATAAATGCAGATATTAATAGGTTTCTATGTTGTAATATTGTCATGGCGTACCCAACTAAGTCTCTCCTGTAGACAACATTTAGGACTAGAAGTGCCGCAAGCAAGATGTTCTTCTTCTTGTTCGGGATGGTCTGATCTTCATAGTTGTCCTGGTGTTTAACTTTATCAGGTTCAAGTCTGAAACAGAGAACACATTCAGTACGTTATTTTACCACTATTTTCCCTAAACCACTATTCTCTCTACATATACATTGTAAAGCAAAAAGTGTTACATGAGTAAGGAAAATGGCAAGGTAAATTTGTCTACATTAAATCACACAGAACCCGCCCTTTAATATGTTATTACTCCATATATACCACAGATGCAGATGTTTAGAGTTGGGAAGGCTCATTTTTACCATGATGATGTCTTACCACAGGTACTAAAATACGTACCTCTCATGTGGTTCTCTGTCCATACCAGTGATGTTTACTGTCAGAGAGCCGGAACCTGCATTGTTTATGACAACGTTCTGAGACCCATAGACGGTAGTTGGCGTACGCTGGCGCAGCTCATCTGAAAGATTAGAGCGATTTTTAAAATACTTTTACGCAATAGATAAACTAAAAGAATGTCCGTGGATTCCTATATAAGGTATAAAGGTAAAAATATCTATTGCACACCGATGGCGTCTGTGTATATAATGTATATTGTTTAGTGTGTACAGCGTACAAATATAGATGTTGGGTTTATACATGTCGATACGAGTAGCAGCCTTGGTTTTTACATTCCTGTGTTAAAAACATTCTTTTATAAACCTTCTTCCAAAAGAGTCCACTATAAAACAATAAACAGGCCACAGCGCCAATTTTGCCCGCAAAATCAAGTCATTTTTTGAGCCAACTAAATATTTTTACCCTTTAATCTGCTATACAAAAAGGTGAAAGTTATCATGGTAGCATGATCAAATGACGACATTCAGGGAGGTAAGAATTGTTTATATTTTTTCTAGGGATTACATCAACTGGTCTTTACAGTATAGTTATATCTGGTATAAGTTACGATTTTTTACACCACTGCAGCCCAGTTGACCTTTAGCCTGACTAAATCGCGCCTCCTAGCGGTTGGTCCACCCGACAGTTGGGGGGGGGCAATTAACCTCAGGCAGCGCGAGATTGTGTAACCACGGGCTAAGCTGACTTTGCCCTCGTAGATAAGATGTGGGCAGAAAGCAAATATAAATACCATACGATGCACAACAAGAGGCAGTGATTGAGTAAATGAGAAGAGCTAGCAACACTCTGAAAAATGAAGCCACCATTTCCTGTGGGTAATGGTAACTTTCGATATGTAAAGAGGCAATCACTACAAGTATACAGTCATGCTCAAATCTTCAAAACTGTTTAGATATATACGCCTCAACTGTGGCGGTAACGAAATTGCCAAAACACAAACAAAATTTCCAACCTTCCACTTCACCGACACTGGATGTAGGCACCATCCTGAGGTCGTAAATGTTGTCTGCAGAAAAACTTCGACGGAGCTCATTAATCGCTGAGAATCGAGACATTTTTTTTCGTGTGTCCAAAAGGGTAAATTACTACGGACGACTGTACCGCACCCTGGCCCGAACAGAGCTTTTATACTCTACATTACGTCATCTATTTGCTATGGCTCTCAAGCACCAATAGGGACGCAGATATTTGCATGTTGTCCTGGATATTGTACGTGAGATTGACGTAAAGTAAGCATGCCTCCCGTAGGTGGTTCCTAGGTTTTATCTACCTGGTTTGCACGGACTATAGTCCAAGTTCAAAGTACCAATGCTGAGTTCATCATTAATCATACGTTTCAATCAAAGTAGTTTTCACCTTCAACCTAGTAAGCAAACAGTTCTATTGGAATTACGACACACTGCAGATCATTTGAAATTTTATAGCAACTTTATTTCACAGAGGTTTTCTCCAGATTTTTCTACAGAGGTTTTCTCCTCCGGATTTCTTTAACAGAGGTTGACTCCCCTGGACAGTCGTAGGTTTCTTTAATAAAAACATACATGTGGTAATGTTTCTGGAACATGAACAGTGCTCAATGTCCGTTAAAGTTTGTTTTTTCTACAGAGGTTTTCTCCTCCAGATTTCTTTAACAGAGGTTGACTCCCCTGGACAGTCGTAGGTTTCTTCAATAAATACATGTATGTGACTATGTTTCTAGAACATGAACAGTGCTCAATGTCCCTTAAAGTTTGTTTTTTCTACAGAGGTTTTCTCCTCCAGATTTCTTTAACAGAGGTTGACTCCCCTGAACGGTCGTAGGTTTCTTTAATAAACGTATGTTGTTCTTGTTTCTTTGATTTTAACACAGTGCACTTCCCAGGTTACTGGCTTTGATTTATTTAACAGAGGTTTACTCCCCTGGACAGTCGTTAGAATCTTCAATAAATAGTTCCACATAAAGTTCAACTTGTATACCATACGTCACTGACAATGTTACAAAACTAACAATGTAAAGTTATAGCCCATCGATAGAGTACAAGTGCATATATATGTCCCCTCACGTGGTTTAGCCCGCCTGCTGAAGCGGTGTACCGGGGTGTGGCGCTTGGAGCCAGCACGTGAGAGTTTAGGGGATGGATGAGGACCAGAGGTGCCCGGACCACTCGACTGGGTAAAGTGCAGCATGCCAGACAAACAAAGGGTCACACCTCTATCCAGAGCCCCCTACACCCTGATGAGTTTGGAAATTACTTTGATTTACAGATTAATCAAACTTTGTAGTATGCGGAGCACAAATCTTGTATCCAGAAGTAGAATACACGTGGGCATTAAGAGATCTTCGTGTCTTAACATCCACGTAATGTATTCAGATAATCTGTGTCTGTAAACAACATTCAGTACCAAAAGTAGAGCCAAGAGGATGCCCATCTTCTTTTTCTTCACTGCCATCAGACGTAGGATCCGTGCCGCCAACTGTAGCATCTTCTGAATGAGTGTCCTCAGATTGTCATCGTTGTCATCTTGAGGGCTGAGACAAAACAAACGTTGCGTTATATTCACCTTCCTTTTCCCAACTCTTCAAATACTACCAAGTACCACTAAGTTTAGAAACCAACCGACAAACAGAGCCGTACAATACAATTTTAAGGCAATTAAACATTCATGAGTCAACCTAGTTAGAAATTAATCAACAAAGAAACAACAAACCAAGCAATCAACAAACAAACGTCTGCATTTCTGAGGGTTGTTTCTTGTCTGAGGGTTGTTTCTTTACCTTTCACGGGGTTCTCTGTTTATATCAGTGATGTTGTTGACTGTTGACTGAGATCCCGTGCATATGATGGTGTTGTTAGATCCGATGACTGTGAACGAGTTGACATCAGAAGACGACATACCCCGGCACATTTCTCCTAAAAGGAAGAGCAGAAGTCGAATTAAATATCGATCTAAAGCCTGTTAGAGGCTAGGACAGCCTTGTAATTAGTAGGGGGAAAGGTGCGTGCTTTCTAACGAGGTACACTTGTTGGTGAGTGAAAAACAAATGTTATAATGGTGACGCAAGTAACGAGCTATTTTGTTGCTCTAAAAACTCTGTAAGGATATTAAAAAAATGCTGAGAATCTAGCGGTCTACAAATGTTCCCTACCTTTGGATTCACTGACACAGGATGATGTCAGTGAGTCGTGAAGGTTGTCTGCAGAAAGGCTTCGACGGAGAATTGGCGGTGATTTGGCCATGATCGTTTTCTGACCTAGACTGTACCGTACATCGTCAGCGCTCTTGCTTATATACCGACCTATTTAGGAGAGCTAGCAGAGGCCAATAGGAACGCAGATATTTGCATATCGTCCACGATAATGTACGTAAAGCAAACTTTTCCGCGCTCGTGTTCTAGCGTACAGTCGGCTTGGGGAGAAAAACAAGTCCAAAGTCCCTTTACTGGGTTTATTATTAAGAATTATACGTGGCCATATACAAAGCTGTCTAGCTTTTGAAGTGTGGAAGGATAATAGAAAGGTTAAAACATATCAACAGTACCTAAGGTTATTTGTGGTGCAGCAATGTAACAGTTTTGATGACGTATTTTTTAAAGCACGTTAAAATGAATTTACAGTATACATACTTATACATACACGTTCTTTCCCTGCTTTATTCACTTCCCACCTTTACAGGTATAGTAAATGCTTTTATCATAAGTTATTAATATACAATTGACTATTTTCCCTTCGACCTATTTCAATAGCCATGAATGAATGCAACTTGTCAATGCTGGCAGTTTAGTCTATTTTCTGGGTTCTTTTTCCGTGTCAATATATGCCTGTACTTTTTTCTCCACATCAAATGAAGTCAAGACATGACAAAAATCCATATGTGCTAGAAGAGTTTATTTCACTGTAAAGAAAAGACACTTAATACAGAAATTGCTTTGCCTTTTTGGAAATCTACCCATGAACTGTTTTTCTTCTGTTCACATTGCGATGCCTTGAAAGGAATTATATATATAGGGCTGGTTTACAACGAAGAGACATTTTTCACCGTTTTGCGTTTGGGAACGTATCCATAGTAGCAACACCTGTGCTGTAAGGTTTCACTACATGTAACTGTAGACTACTCACATGTACAAGTAATGGTGGGAAAGTTACAATCTAGAATAATATAGGCTCATGATAAACATTTTAAAGTGGAGTCTAGTAAACAAACTAAAAAGTGACATGTATTTTACTCGTCCCTGAGGAAGTGATATTAACAAATATCTTTTTTCTTGTAAAAATATCTGGACAGCATTTGTAATAAAGTTAAAGTTGTGTTCGCAAAGGATAACCCAGCGTTACACAAAAAAAGCTCATAGTTATTGATAATATTTGTTCCTATACTATCAGCTCCAGAACAACTTATGAAATGATAACGAATGCTCACAGAAAAGTCAATATATAACTTTTAAAATAAATAACAAACTCCTGGACAATAGCTATATATATAATCTTTCAACACAGAGTCTTACATGTATGAGGTTTTCTACACTTATATCAATACTGCACAAAAAATTTGGCTGATCGAATTTTAATTCAAGCAAACATCTTGTTCAAGATATCGAATTAGGTTAGTTTTCTTTCTTTTTTACAACTATTCCCCTAGCGGTCGTTGACCATATCAACGTTAAGTCCAACATATAGTATGGTAATGAAATAAATAAATAAATAAATAATTTCTTCCATGGTCTAACTGTCACCTGGTTTTATTTATACGTTTAATTGTTACGTATGTGCGTCAATTATTTTGTGCGCTGTGCCATGCTTTTCTTTTGTTATTTTGAAAATCAATGAAAAGAAAGAACTTTAACTAAAAAGGTTTTAAAAACATTTGAAAAGCGCATAATGTTTACTTTCGCATATGGTTTGCTCTGTTAATTCTTACTCAAACACCTTCATATATGTGGTCAGACAAGAGTCTAAATCCCTCCTACAATAAAATTGCAACATGATGTAACCCCACACCAGTTACCATGGTGACAGACGTTATGTGACCTTTTGCGTTTGGAATGGAAGAGGAAACAGAGCAAAAACAATATATTTTCCTTCGATAAACATAATAAATAGATAAAGGGATAGAAAATGATTTCACAAAGTTTTCTAAGCTCAGTGACGCTGTGTCAGTTTGCCCCCTCACGTGGTTTAGCCCGCCTGCTGAAGCGGTGTACCGGGGTGTGGCGCTTGGAGCCAGCACGTGAGAGTTTAGGGGATGGATGAGGACCAGTGGTGCCCGGACCACTCGACTGGGTAAAGTGCAGCATGCCGGACAAATAAAGGGTCACACCTCTATCCAGAGCCCCCTACATCCCATGTAGGAACCAAACAAAAGATAAAGCCTTTAGTAAAGGTTCTTTTCCTTTTGTTTGATTCCTGGCAGTTAAAGTTTATGCTTTTTCAGACTAGCCCTCGTTGGTGCATGCACACAGTGTCGCCAGGAGGATCTTGAAGTTGGTCTTGAGTGTCGTCCTCCCCTCGACACTGTCTGCTTCAGGGCTGAAACAGGCAAACATTTCAATCATCACTTTCGTCGACCAAGAAATAGTTTCCAAACAAATAAACAAGCGAACAAACAGACAACAAAAGAAATGAAAAGCCTGGTTACGAGTCTTACAAACAGACCCACTAAAGCTCCCGAGACCCACATCCTCTTAAATCTATTTGCAGAGAGGATGTAGGACTCGGGAGTTATAGTAGGGCTGGTAACCAGGCTAATTTCATATGATAAATATAATGCCAGCTGAGGTATAAATATGAAAACACGATCTGTACAAACCGCAGCACGTAGATGCCATAGCTGTCAGTGCAAGAATACCTCGAGTGCACTATAATTCGAGTATAAATTAAGGCACAAACAAACCTGTAATGGGGATCTCTGTCCGTTCTTATGATGATGTTGACTGTTGACTGAGGTCCCGTGCAAATGATGGTGTTGTTAGACCCGGTGACAGTGGTTTGGTTGACAACAGGAGAGGTGCCCAGGCACAGCTCTCCTAAAGAAGAACATAGTTATAGACGCCCTATTTGTACTCTTTGTTTTAAGCTCATTTGGGTTAATATATTAAAAAGTAGTTATACCCTTCATTGTAGACTCCTTGTCGGTATA